AAGCTCACAAAGGAGAAAAAAGCTTTACAAGAAGCTCATCAACAAACCCTGGATGACCTGCAGAGTGAAGAAGACAAAGTCAACACTCTGACCAAGGCCAAGACGAAGCTGGAGCAGCAAGTGGACGATGTAAGATCTAAAACATTACAACTGAATCCTGTATTATGTTTGTTTGACAACAAATGACTATTTCCCTGTCTTTCTGCAGCTTGAAGGGTCCTTAGAACAAGAGAAGAAAATACGAATGGACCTTGAAAGAGCCAAGCGAAAGCTTGAGGGAGACTTGAAGTTGGCCCAAGAAAGTATCATGGACTTAGAAAATGACAAGCAGCAACTTGAAGAGAGGCTGAAAAAGTAAGAAGCCCATATCAACGACACTAGCTACTTTCTAAGTATGCATCATTTTATTCATTGTACTTTTTGTCATCTGTAGGAAAGATTTTGAAATAAGCCAACTCAATGGAAAAATAGAGGATGAACAAGCAATGAGTGCTCAGCTCCAGAAGAAACTGAAGGAGCTGCAGGTGAAACTTCTCACCACATAAATTATTAACAAGAAGGACAGCGTGTTTTTAAATGCAACCTTCATCATTTTGTTCTAGGCCCGCATTGAAGAACTGGAGGAAGAGCTTGAAGCAGAACGAGCTGCTCGAGCCAAGGTGGAGAAGCAGAGAGCAGACTTGGCAAGAGAGTTAGAGGAGATCAGTGAGAGACTGGAGGAGGCTGGAGGAGCCACAGCGGCCCAGATAGAGATGAACAAGAAGAGGGAGGCCGAGTTTCAGAAACTCCGCAGAGACCTCGAAGAGGCCACCCTGCACCATGAAGCCACCACTGCCACACTCAGGAAGAAACAAGCCGACACTGTTGCTGACCTGGGAGAGCAGATCGACAACCTGCAGAGAGTCAAGCAGAAGTGGAGAAGGAGAAGAGTGAGCTTAAACTGGAGCTGGATGATGTTGTGTCCAACATGGAGCAGATTGTCAAGGCCAAGGTAAGCTAAATATTAAATATTATGTTTTCTTGTTGCTTGCAGAAAATCTTACTCTAGTCTTGTCCCACATAGTAACGATTATTCATACTTTACTTTCTTTCAGAACAATTTGGAGAAAATGTGTCGGTCTCTTGAGGATCAGCTGAATGAATATAAAACCAAATCAGAAGAGGGACAGCGTACCATCAATGACTTCACCATGCAGAAAGCAAAGCTTCAAACTGAAAATGGTACAAAAAGGCACTTTAAACCTTTTGAATAGTATATATTAACTTTATCAATGAAAAGCCTAATTTTTTATTTATTCTTAAATCAGGTGAACTTATAAGGCAGCTTGAAGAAAAGGATTCCTTAGTGTCTCAACTCACCAGAGGAAAGCAGTCATACACACAACAGACTGAAGACCTAAAAAGACAACTGGAAGAGGAAATCAAGGTGAGTGGGAATCGAGAAACTCCATTAAATACAGATAGATTGTTGATAGGGACTAAACCCTTTCTTTTCAGGCCAAGAATGCACTAGCCCATGCGGTGCAGTCTGCTCGTCATGACTGTGACCTCCTCAGGGAGCAGTACGAGGAGGAGCAGGAAGCCAAGGCTGAACTTCAGCGCAGCATGTCCAAGGCCAACTCTGAGGTGGCTCAGTGGAGAACCAAGTACGAAACTGATGCCATCCAGAGAACTGAAGAACTGGAGGAAGCTAAGTGAGTACAGCACATTTGAATTTAAGTGACTATACAAAGTTTGAAAGCAGCCAATCCCAATCCTGGATTCTTCTATAATCCAGAAAGAAGCTGGCTCAGCGTCTGCAGGAGGCTGAGGAGGCTGTTGAAGCAGTGAATGCTAAATGCTCCTCTCTGGAGAAGACCAAACACAGGCTGCAGAATGAGATTGAAGATCTCATGGTGGATGTGGAGAGGTCTAATGCTGCTGCTGCTGCTCTGGACAAGAAGCAAAGGAACTTTGACAAGGTTGAAAATGACAGAAACAGCTGTATAAACTTACCACAGCTAAAGATAAAATACTTACATTTATGTCATTTTTTTCTCAGGTCTTGTCTGAGTGGAAACAAGTATGAAGAATCTCAATCAGAGCTGGAGAGTTCTCAGAAAGAAGCCAGATCACTGAGCACTGAACTCTTCAAACTTAAAAACTCCTATGAAGAGTCTCTTGAACATCTGGAGACCATGAAGAGGGAGAACAAGAACCTACAAGGTAGGTTATTTATTTATAAGACATCAGACAAACAGTTGAATTAGAAAGAAGGATTCATATATCATGTCGATTATGTTTTTAGAGGAAATATCTGACCTCACTGAGCAAATTGGTGAGGGAGGAAAGAACATCCATGAGCTTGAGAAGATACGGAAGCAGCTGGAACAAGAAAAGTCTGAGATACAGACCGCTCTTGAGGAAGCAGAGGTAAATGCAAAGCAAAACAGTTCCATGAAATAAAATATTGCAGTGTTAGTTATTTGGTAAAAAAAAAAGTCATCCTGTTTTTATAGGCCTCACTGGAGCATGAGGAAGGGAAGATTCTGAGAGTCCAGCTTGAGTTGAACCAAATAAAAGCGGAATTTGAGCGAAAGCTGGCTGAGAAAGATGAAGAGATGGAGCAAGTCAAGCGAAACCAACAGCGGATGGTGGATACTCTTCAGAGCTCCCTTGAGTCTGAAACTCGCAGCAGGAATGAAGCCCTTCGTCTGAAAAAGAAGATGGAGGGAGACCTCAATGAGATGGAGATCCAGCTTAGCCAAGCCAACAGGCAGGCGGCTGAGGCCCAGAAGCAACTCAAGTCTGTACATTCACATCTTAAGGTCTGCATTAAAGTTGTGGCCTTTTGTGAATTCAATAATCCAGACTGCTGGGGTTTAAAAAAACTGCAATCCAAAAATTTAGAAGATTAGATTAAAATGATATGTCATTTTGCAAGGTCTAGAAAATGTTTTGGTCTGAAAAGCAACATTACTTGCTTCGGCATAGTCATATAAACTTCTAGTGCTTTCAATCTTCACATTCCATGTTCTTACCCATAAATGTTATTTATCAATTATCCTCTTTCAGGATGCCCAGCTCCAACTTGATGATGCTCTGCGAGCCAGTGATGACATGAAGGAAAACATAGCCATTGTTGAAAGACGCAACAATCTGCTTCAGGCTGAAGTAGAGGAACTGAGAGGCGCTTTAGAGCAAACCGAACGAAGCCGCAAACTTGCTGAGCAAGAGCTGCTGGATGTTAGTGAGCGGGTGCAGCTACTGCACTCACAGGTCAGACAGTTTTAATCAATTTCTTCACAAGTTATTAATATCTAATAATAATTAACATATAATAGTATAAATATTACTGAAGAATTCTAAAAGGTTTCAATTATATGTGAACAGAACACCAGCCTGATAAACCAGAAGAAGAAGCTGGAGGGTGATATCGCTCAGCTTCAGACCGAAGTGGAGGAGGCTGTGCAGGAATGCAGAAATGCTGAAGAGAAGGCCAAGAAGGCCATCACTGATGCTGCCATGATGGCAGAGGAGCTGAAGAAAGAGCAGGACACCAGCGCTCACCTGGAGCGCATGAAGAAGAACATGGAGCAGACCATCAAAGATCTGCAGCACCGTCTGGATGAAGCTGAACAGATCGCCATGAAGGGAGGCAAGAAGCAGATCCAGAAGCTTGAGTCAAGGGTGAGTGAAATCACTGAACATATAATACGAATTTGAGCTGAAATAAAGAGCCATTTATGACTGTTTTAAATTTTTCAAAAGATCAAAGAACTGGAAAATGAAGTAGAGGTTGAACAGAGAAGATCCAGTGACTCCATTAAAGGAATTCGCAAATATGAGCGACGCATCAAAGAGCTGACATATCAGGTGCGAGAAATTTTATCTATATATATATTTTTAAGAAATGTTCAAAAAATTAGACAAGCAAATGGAAATAACTTCACTAAACCCGTCCACAACTATCTTAAGATTGTAGACCAAACATTTTCAGACATGCACAATTAATCACAAGGAGTCATCAAGGCATCTCATGACATTACTTGATCACTAGTAATCTAATGAGATCACTTACTTCTTACTTCTACTTCTAAGTTGACCAATTGAGGTATGACCTGAAGACACTCCAACATTTTATTAAACATTTAGTTAAACCCCCCCCAAATTTTTCTCTTATTTGTTTCAGACAGAGGAAGATCGTAAGAATCTGTCCCGTCTCCAAGATCTGGTGGACAAACTACAGCTTAAGGTCAAATCCTACAAGAAAGCTGCAGAGGAGGCAGTAAGTACTTCAGTTTCATAAATCATCACAATCTGTAAGTAATGCTTCATGACTGAAGTAGATAACAGGCAAAAGGTAGCATCTAAACTTGATACAATTACATTTCACCCAGAACAAGAGTACACCAATAAATTTGCAAAGTTGTAATAACTCCTATTAAAGTTGATTAAAAACCACATTTGTGATGATTACCTTAAAAGCCTATGACACTTATCAGAATGTGTCACTTTGCTAAACAGGAGGAACAGGCCAACAACAATCTTTCCAAGTTCCGCAAGATTCAACATGAGCTTGATGAAGCTGAGGAGAGAGCTGATATCGCAGAGTCTCAGGTCAACAAGCTACGTGCTAAGAGCCGCGATGTGGGGTCAAAGGTTGGTTCAATTTAGAATTTAACATTTAAGTGATGTGGTGAAGTTAAAATACCCAAAGATTCAGTGCAAAACCATTCCATACAAATGTTGAAATGAGACTTAAAATAGTAGCAAGAACTTTTCTCAACAAAATATGTCCTCATATTATCAGTATAAAGATAATAGGTTCAACTAAACCATGTTTAAGGCTGAAGCATGTGTTGCAATTTTGCGAACATTTAACAGGACAAAAAGGAATCACAGATAAAATACCTATGTAATTATTTGAATACATTTCTCTCTTTTTTCAGAAAGGGCACGAGGAAGAGTGAAGAAGATGGAATGAATCCCTTCTTCTGAGGCACTTCTTATCTTAATGGTGTCTCCCTATGCATGTCGTTTGTTCAGTAGAATAAAATGAATCTGCATCTCAAAGTGGGCCACGACTTGTTTCTTGATCCTCCACCTTCAAGAAGCAAATGACAAAAACACTAAGTGATGAAGGCATCTCTTTTGCCCTTGTTAAATTCATAGATTATCCACATTTATGATTGCATTGATTCACAGCGCTTTTAATACATTGTTTTATAGTTTCACAGTGTAGCATGATTCCTATTTTCTACTTGAATTGTGCACGATAATTTTTAAGTATTTTCTTAGTTTTAACTAAATATAGAAACTCAAGTCACTGACATGGTAGTAATGGGGTACCATTATATTACTACATCATTTATACTGCAGTTAGTTGGTAATCTACTGTATTATCTGAGGAAGCAACAAGAATATATCCTTTTCTAATGACATTTGAATCTACTCATAAATTAGCTAACATTCTACAATGTTAAAGCCATTATAAATATAAAGTCAGCGCTCTCCGTAATTATTTGCAACCTTGTGAGAAGTAAATTAATTTATTGCAGTAGCCTAATCTTTCATGGAAAATTGAATGAAAATTCAACCCATAACATAAATACTGTCATTCAGTGAGAAAAAATAAATCATATGAAAACTGTTTTTTTGGACTGTCAAGATTACTGACACCCATATTACCTTTTTAAAATAGTGAAGTATTTTTACTGGTGCTTTACCTTTTAAAATAGATTAGTGTTGAGTATTTTATTAGAACTCCACAACTTCCTGTTTCTATGGGAAATAATTGCATAGTAGCACAGAAGTAATTTACTTCTTGCCAGTCTTCAAAATGGAAAAGACAAGAAAACATGCCTTTGATGATTGAAGATCAAGTATTGATCTTACTTCAAGTCAAAACTTGAAGTATGTGTTGATCTTCATTGGATAAACAATGGCAATAAGAGAATAACTAGTTTTCTAAAGTAGCCCATGTCCACACCCAGTACAGAAATTAAAAAGTTCAAAACAATTTAAGCTTTAACCAAATAATTCCTTTCAAGGACCCATATTTATCTCAGTACCAATATTCCCATCCGCTTAAAAAAAACAATGAAAAGGATTTTAAAGGCCGTAAGGAAATGTCTCTAAAGCTCCTTATGAGGAATCAATACCATCCTCCTCCAATCCATTGTTTTTTTTCATTTTAAGAATTTTAAAATCTTTGCTAGGGTTACTGAAAAATGTGGAGGACTGTACTTCAACAGTTTGCCATATGTTATCTTATTTAACTTAAAATTATGTAATATTGTGCAATAATTATTAACTATTGAAACATTTAATTGGTAAAATATATAGTATAGTGCTCTATGCAACACAAATGAATAAAAGGTTGCTATGTCAAATTTGACATGACCGAACTTCTTAGAATAAGCAAAAAAAAAAGCATCCAAACCTCAAACAAAACCTTAAAAACAGATTAACTAGTACATAGTTTAAATCATAGTGCACATAAAATAAAGACATTAGCGATGTCTCGTCCTTTACACATCAAAAAAAAAAAAAGTGAACTTTGTGCATAGAAAAAAACAATAACACTGGATTTTAAAATATTAACACAATACTTTGTCTAAGGTAGAGATTTTTTACCTAAATGTCAAGCCAAGTGATACCTCATCAAAACTGACAAAGCAAAGGGATGGATGACTTGGTTTTATAACCCTTAGCATTATCTCAGGAAAATAGAGGCTTTTGGGAGGTTTTGTGGTTGCACCACAAAACACATTCAGGCATGCTGATTGTTCATCAAAAGATGCAATACAGCACAATGGCAGACCCAAATGATTGACCCACTCACTCCAGAAGGATTAAAAAAAAAAAATTAAGCCATTCGAGAAGACCCATTTTTATTACACATCAAAGCTTTACTACTTGAGGTCCTCCAGCTTAACAAACTGTAGAAATCAGCTGTACTACATTTTTACCAAATGTGAATATGCTCTAAGTATTATCCCCAGTGCCAAATAACGTTACCTGTTATGGTGAAGGATGTCCCAGTCCTCTGATGCATGCTGCTTCATGGTATCAGTCTTTGATGTTTCAATCAAAAAATACATAACAATAAGAGAATTGGACTCTGTAGCTCTTCAAACTGTCCACATAGTAAATCATTGCTTTTAACATTTATTCAAAACGTTTAGAATGTATTACATTCTTAAACAACCTAGATAATATCTGTGAAATGCGTAGGTTCTTGCCAAGAAACATATCATGCTTTTTGACTACTTCTTGAAGCTCTTAAAAATCTATTTTTCATTAAATGTAACCAATTCTTAACTTGGGAGAGGTAGAATTACAAACATCTGTTTAACTAGAATACAACAAAAAAAAGTAGATACTTAGACATTTCACGAATTAAAAAATCTAAAATGTAAATCAATCAAGCCCTACCTTTTCTCACATTTATTTCTGAAGCAACGTTGAGTCTCAAGCACCAAGGTTCTTCTTTAATTTTTGGTCAATTTCAAACCTGAGCTTATGCAGTGATGCTGCAGTCACAGACAACTTTATTACTGAAGTGGAGTCAAGGAGATGGGCAAGACAGCAGAAGGACATATGGAGGCAGGGACACATATTCAACACCTCCTCAAGTAACCATCAGAACATAACAAGCATTCTAACAATAGAAACTTCATGTGAAACCACAGTTGTCATAGATTGCAAAATTAAGAGAGACAAGGTGCTTCACATCTCCCCTTGTGATCACAGAAGTCAGAGATACAAGGACTCTGGACAGCTGGGAATGGAGACCTTTCATGGAGGACAACCTGCTATATTAAGGCCAGGAATAGATTAGAGTCAAGTAGTTCAGAAGTTTACATAGAGGCAAAGATGTAGTGTATGGATATGTTGGGGAAGCAAGTACAAAAAAACACTTGCTAGGCCCAGCATGGATCACTAATAGTGTTGGCACATCAGAAGCCTAGTAGCAGTCTACTGGCAAGACTTTTAAATAAACATGTTTACAGTATTTAAAAATCTTTAAACATGATTAATACAGTACTTTGAGTGAAATAAAATTCTATTTTTATCAATTCAAACTAATAGTCAGCTAGTACACCCACTACGCCCACTTAGGTCTGTAGAGTTGGCTCACAGTGTTAATATTTTTGTCCCTCAATTCTTATCTAATAAACTTAAGATTCTTGGTATGACACATCAAAAAGGTTAATAAATTCAATGCTTAAAACTCAGTATCTCTAAGGAGCAGCAAAGTTAGTAATCTGATTCACCCACCAATGGAGCTCAGATACGCTTGAGTTTCAACAGAAATGCTTTAGCTCACGTTTTAGCTTCAGCATTTCGTTTCCTTTGTCTGCAGATTTTGAGACTTGTCCAGAGACATTAAAATCAGGCCATTCTCTTTATGTCCAGTTTTCAAAAAAATACAAAACTACGTATAAAATTAGATTTTACAATTTGCTTGTATGTTTCTACATCCACCTAAAATGTATCCTTACTTCTTTTATTTTCATAAAATACTTACTCTTCTGCTATTGAAAAAATCAACAGTTCACTAGCGTGCCATCACCAGTGTGTGAATGGAAATGACTGGTTTTACTCTAAAGCATCTTTGAGAAAGCTTTGACAATTGAAAAGCACTATATAAGTCTCTTGTCATTACTAAATTTCTGAAACATCTTGAGGAGAGATACAGCTTTTGTTTCGAAGAATAAAAACATGCAGTAAAGGCAGTCATTGTGAATGTAGGAAAATTTAACGGAAACTTGCTTTATCAAACTGTCATGTTTAGGTGTACTGTATACTTGGTGAAGCTACACTCTCCCTTTTCACCAGGATATGTTTGACACAAACTAGGCAATACCCAGTTGCCTAGTTAAAATAAGTCATAAAAATAACTTGTAAAATGTATGCTACTCCCATATTGAAATGCCAGAAAAGTTTTTGGAGTGACCATAGTTTTCTCAGGCTGTATGGTACATACAGTACTGGTAAGTACAATACGACACCAGCTTTCAATTTATAAACTTGCAACCCATGCACAAGTTATATATCAGTGAGGCTACTCCAAACCACTAACATTCATCCTACAGATAACAGGAAGGATAACTTTCAGATGGAGCATGAATTCCCACAAGTGAATGGCTGTGTTTTCATCCAGATTTATAGCAACTTTTGTAAATCCAATACATCTCCTAATCTTTGAAAGATAACACTCTATCAGAAGGAAAGCAATTTACTTTTACTGTCACTTGTTTGATATTGTTTGACAAGCCAGTTAGTAAGACTGGGCAAGTTGCTTCCTGTAATGACAAATATACTACAGAACTATAACATCATCCCTGTATATGATGTTGTTGCTTGACATTTTGTCCTGGTTTTGTTATTATACTGCATTTTTGTCCTGTCATTTCAATGTTCATCCTTTGGGACTTTATTGAATTAATGCATATTGTCTGTTCCTCAACACTCACCTGTTGCTGCTTATCTGAATATAGGAACGCTTTGTCCCTTTGCTGTGCGTCAGACGCTGACCCTCAACTGTCAGCTGAAACATCAGCACTCGGAAGGCAACCAGCAAGAATTTCACAGGTTATCTTTGAGCCCAAGGTTGCCATGCCATGCCATCTAGCCATCAGGATCAAGGGTAGAAGAAAGGGGACATCTCACTTTTGGGACCATTTCAACTTGCTCTCAATACATGGTGGAAAATTGGGTTACTATTAGGCCTGTCATGATACCAAATTTTGCCGAGCGATTAACTGTCTCAAAAATTATTGCAATAAACGATAATATTGTTTGAAGACCTTTTTACACTGATTTAATGGAAATGATGTAATAATGCATGCCAAATATAGATGCACTTTATTTTCAAAAGAACACTTAACACTGGAACTGATAAAACAACCAAAAACACCAGTAATATTTAGCTAAATAAAATAATTTAGCAAAAATAAACTAGTGTGGCTGCCCTTAGTCTAATAATGAGTCAGTTTCTCTTCCTCCACGTTGTTCAGTCACCGGGTTCGTGGTGAGGAGGAGGATCTGTGAATCTATCAAATTATGGACAAGAATATTTTTTCATACACTATTTAGAGTGTAGCTTAGAAACCGACACATATCTCATCCCGCCTGATGTGTTGATCAAAAAATAACTTTGCCTGAATTCACACCACATGATTTATGACTATGTCATAAACAGATTTCCCCTTACATCGTAGCAGCCTTGATTATATATATATATATATGTATATATATATATATATATATATATACATATACATATACACTGGATAGCTCAATACATAAGGCATCAGTATATCACCCGAGAGGGCAGGGTTCGAATCCAGTCTGGGTCCTTAGGCAAGACCCTTCAAGCTACTGCCTACCTCATACCATGAGAGATACTAAGTTGCATAACATGCCGGCTCAGACGTCGCCCGGCCAACAAGGTCTGCGTCAGGTGTTGGGGAACCAGAGCACCTTGATGACAAAATGGGCTACTGGAACAAGACGGAAATGGGCGAGAGATGAAAATGTGGATCTGTTGGAATGCTACTACTCAAGTAACCCTAGTGAGAGAGGTTACATGCAAAGACTGGGGAAGGAATGGTTACTTCGACATCCCCAGTCAACACTAAGCGCTAAACAACTAGTAGCTCAGTGTTCCAACATCCGCAAACGGCAACTGCTATCACAACTTGAGATTGACGAGACACAACACAAATGCTACGGCAAAAGGGAGGAACCCGGATGTCAGGACTGTGGGGACTTAACTACAAGTCCCCACCCAGTGAGGGGATACACGGCCCCAATGAGCGAAACAGAGCTGAACGAGACAGCTGCTGACCTGAGAGAGAGAATCATGACCCGAATGACAACCAGGCCTCCCCGGCGCCAATTACAACGGCTGAGTGAAGTACCATCTGAAAGTCTCATTGAGAATGTGAATGCAGCATTGAGAACGATCCCTACCAACACCATAACAGAAACCAATGAGCTGATCTACAACTCAGCATCAGTGATCCTTGAGATACTTGGCTATAAGAGCAACCATGAGACCCAATACCCACCATGGAAAAGACGGTTAGAGGCTAAAATCAAGGTAACAAGGAGGAAGTGAGCCAACTGTCAGAGCTCCACAAGGGTGCAATGAAAAGACCAGTACCCAGAAAGTACAGCCAGATGCCCATACCTGAAGCACTCGAGACTGCCAAACAGAGGCTCCAAGCCTTGTCCAGCCGCCTAAAGAGATACACAAGGGAGAATGAATCCAGAAGGATTAACCGGCTCTTCTCCACTCAACCAGCTAAGGTGTACTCTCAATGGCAGGGTAACAATAACAACAGAGCAGACCCACCAAGGCTGGAGACGGAACAATACTGGAAAGGCATATGGGAAAGGGAGGGTCCCACAACAGCAATGCACAGTGGCTGATCTCTCTACGAGAGGACCACAGCAACCTCCCTGAGCAAGCCCCGGTAACCATCACTGTGACAGATGTCCAAGAAAGAGTCTCAGGTATGAAAAACTGGACAGCACCAGGGCCTGACATGATCCATGCCTACTGGCTAAAGAAACTCACTGCTCTCCATGAGCGAATGGCAGCCCAAATGAACCAGCTGCTACAAAGTGGGACTCACCCTGAATGGTTAACTGAAGGGCGGACAATCCTAATCCAGAAGGATCCATCAAGGGTCCAGTCCCACCCAACTACCGACCAATAACCTGCCTCTCCACAACCTGGAAGCTCATGTCAGGCATCATAGCAGCCAAGATAAGCAAACACATGGATAAACACATGAGCACGGCACAGAAGGGTATCGGTGTAAATAGCAGAGGAGCCAAACACCAACTCCTCGTAGACCGCACAGTTTGCCCGAGACTGCAAAACCCGACACACCAACCTGTGCATGGCTTGGATTGATTACAAGAAAGCCTATGACTCAATGCCGCATACTTGGATCATTGAATGCTTAGAGATGTATAACATCAACAGGACTCTGAGAGCCTTCATTGCAAACTCGATGAGGCTGTGGAAAACCACCCTTGAAGCCAACTGCAAACCACTTGCACAAGTGTCCATCAAATGTGGCATATACCAAGGAGATGCTCTGTCCCCGCTACTGTTCTGCATAGGCCTGAACCCCCTCAGCCAAGTTATCAACAAGACTGGCTACGGATACAGACTCAAAAATGGGGCCAATATCAGTCACCTACTCTACATGGATGACATCAAGCTGTACGCCAAGTGTGAGCGAGACATCGACTCACTGATCCACACCACCAGGATCTACAGCACTGACATTGGGATGTCATTCGGACTAGAGAAATGTGGTCGGCTGGTCACAAAGAGGGGGAAGGTCATCCACACAGAAGGGGTCTCACTCCCAGAAGGAACAATAGCAGACATAGAGGACAGTTACAAGTACCTAGGTATACCACAAGCAAATGGCAACCTCGATGAGGTCACAAGGAAAGGAGCCACAGCTAAATACCTCCAACGAATAAGGCAAGTCCTGAGAAGCCAGCTCAATGGCAAGAACAAAATCCAGCTATGCCCTGCCAGTAATCAGATACCCTGCTGGAATAATTAGCTGGCCAAAGGAGGAGATAAAAGCCACAGATATTAAGACCAGAAAGCTACTAACAATGCATGGAGGGTTCCATCCCAAATCCAGCACCCTGAGACTGTACACGAGCCGCAAGGACGGAGGCAGAGGACTAGTGAGTGTGAGAACCACTGTCCAGGACGAAACAACTAAGATCCATAAATACATCAGGGACAAAGCCTCAACAGACAATGTGCTCAGTGAATGTCTCAGACAACAGGGAACGGAGGTTGAGGTGCCAGAGATACCATCATGGGAGGACAAACCCCTACATGGGATGTACCACCAGCAAATAACCCAAGTGGCTGATATCAGTAAATCCTACCAATGGCTGGAAAAAGCTGGACTCAAGGACAGCACAGAGGCCCTCATCCTGGCAGCCCAGGAACAGGCCCTAAACACCAGAGCAATAGAGGCCCAGATCTACCACACCAGACAAGACCCAAGGTGTAGGTTGTGCAAGGAGGCCCCTGAGACAGTCCAGCACATCACAGCAGGGTGCAAGATACTGGCAGGGAAAGCGTACATGGAGCGACATAACCAAGTGGCAGGCATAGTGTACAGAAACATCTGTGCAGAATATGGACTGGAAACCCCAAGATCAAGTGGGAAACACCCCCAAAGGTGGTGGAGAACGCCAGAGCTAAGATCCTGTGGGACTTCCAGATCCAGACAGACAAAATGGTAATGGCGAACCAACCAGACATTGTCGTAGTGGATAAACAACAGAGGAAAGCCGTTGTGGTAGATGTAGCAATACCAAGTGATTGCAACATCAGGAAAAAGGAGCACGAGAAACTGGAGAAATACCAGGGCCTCAGGGAAGAACTGGAGAGGGCCTGGAAGGTGAAGACCACAGTGGTGCCTGTGGTCATCGGGGCCCTCGGGGCAGTAACCCCCAAACTGGAGCAATGGCTACAACAGATCCCAGGAACAACATCAGACATCTCAGTCCAGAAATGTGCAGTCCTTGGCACAGCCAAGATACTGCGCAGAACCCTCAAGCTCCCAGGCCTCTGGTAGAGGACCCGAGCTCAGAGGATAAGAACCACCCGAGGTGGGTGAGAAGGGAATTTTTTTTTTTTTTTTTATATATATATTATATATATACATATATATATATATATATATATATATATATATATATATATATATATATATATATATATATATACATATATATATATATATATATATATATATATATATATATATATATATATATATATATATGTACAGAGAGACAGAGAGAGACATTAATTACGTGGAAGATGCCGGAGCACCAGAGGGAACGTAAAAGAACCAACCAACCGAAGAAGATGATTGTTGATTTCAGGAGGAACAGGATTAAATCAAAGCTTGTTTCCATCATGGCAGAAGAAGTTGAGGAATATAAAGACCTCTGTGTTTTCTGGACTGGAGACGCAACACTGTCTATAACAGGGGAGCTCAAACTTTTTGAGACCAAGATCTACTTTTTCTCTCACCAGCCGGCAGAAATCTACGTCATGACACGAAGACATAAAAATCGTAAATTCAACCCTATTGGCTCATTTCTATACGAAAATCAGAAATGTCATTACGGGAGAAGCAAACCTCCCCAGCCGGGGAATTTCAATTCTCGTGGGAGAATTGAAATTCAAATTAAAAATGAACTCAAAATGATTCACTTTCCAACAAATAAAGAAGGCCACAGACAAAATATAAAACAGAGAAATAATTCAAAACACTACCACTGAAAACAATGGAGTGAAAAATAAACAAAAGTAAAAAAAAATAATAATAATGGGATTGCAATCTCTTCATGAATACTTACTCCAAATGTTGACATCTTCAAAATCAAAGTTGAGACTTCCAACTCAACTATCTCTTCTTCATAACAAACTTCATCAACTGGATACGTTTGGTGTTCGGGAAGATTAGCAAAATCATTCTCTAGGACAGAGCTTTCTTCATTGATATTCTCGTGAAATGCAGATATTGAGCATTCTGGCTCAACTGTCTCCTTTTTACAGCCATCTTCCCCAGCCGGGGAAGGTCAGATGGGGATGAATCAAGAAAAAAAGAATAAAACATGTCATTACCGGAGAAGCAAACCTCCCCAGCCGGTGAGGTTTGCTTCTTAGTCCAGGGAGGATCAAACAGAAATGAATCAAACTCATCATAATATGTCGTTGCTGTGGAAGGGTTGAAAATAAAAGAGTCAAACTGTTGGGGAAGGACTGAAAAGAAAATTATCAAAATGATCGCATCCAGGAGAAGTGCTCTCGTCCTTCAAGCTATCCCTTTTTTCTTCACTACGTGGAAACAGCTTATCAAGTTTCCACATTCCTGTAGTCACTAAATAGCCAACACTAAAACCAAGGGGGAAAACCACACCGACTAAAAGATCTGCCAGTGTGAAAATTCTTGCAATGAAACAGTGGTGATGTTTGAAGAACTGGTTGGATATGGACTGATGTTTTGAAACACAATCACTTTTCCTAGTTGTGGAGCTGGAGCAATTCCAATGCGATCCAGTTGCATAAAAAGTGCTGAATTGTTCATTGAAGTGTAACAAATGAGATTAAGGCTTCACAAATCGCAAACTTGGTTTTAAATATTCTGCTATTAGTTGAGGATAATCTAGTTCAGCTTTGAAGAGTCTAGTATCTGTGGCTTTTTAACTACAGTAGATGAAAAGTCTCCTCTAGAAGGGATTGAAAAAATTAGGTGAAATCGCCCTTTAGCCATTCCCGAATCGGAAGCTTCAATCGGAAACCAACTTCAGCCCCAATTGGAAACCAACTTCAGCTTCTATCGAAAACCAACTTCAGCTTCGTGTCAAAAGTGTGCGGATTATCGCGTTTTAGCACGAAAAGCACCGCAAGTCAATTTCCCACCGTTTTGTTTGAATGTATCTGGTGAAAAACAGCAGCTACAAGTTCACTTTAGAAGTTTTGACTGAATTTCTTGAAGTTAAAATACACTAGTTTTATTGTACAAGCTAGTAACGGTAAACAGTTGATGCGCGAGCTGGCTAACACCTCTCTTTGAATCATATTAAGTAAATTTATTCGGCCTTCACTCCAACCACTGCATCATTAGCTCAAAAAGTACCTACAGATAAATAAGTGCAGCTGTAACTGTAGTGTCTACAACAATCTCCAAAATTCAGACCTACCATTTGCGTCCATCTTCACATCCGCTAGTTCCATTTCTGACCGAATGATGGCGTCGTTTCCCCAACGCACCTGCATCTCATCAGCTCCTTGACTAGTTTTCACCAAAGCGCCTCTTTGCCACCTGATTAAAAACGTGGCACGAAGTTATTCCTGTGAATGCAAGGATTCTGTAGGGTAAGTAATTTATTGTTGTAGTGATTTTGATCTAAAACACTGAGGAATAATTTTAAAAAGCCTGACAAATGTCTGTATAAAGAGAAACATGTGGCAGTATCAGACCTTGTCATCTCAAAATGTGATGTTTTACCCAAGTATAACATTAACTAAATGCATAATAACTTTTCCCATCAAGCTTTGAAGAATCTTGTCAGATTTGTTTTGTCTGTTTTAGAAAGTCCAAAGCAGCTCTACAGGATGGACACTTCTCTTATAAAATTGAACTGAATTGGAATCTGCTTGTACAGGTACAGCATTATTGAAAAGTAAATTTATTTCAGAAACGCATCTCACAGTGAAACATCATGAAAACATTTAGATCAGAACATTACATCAGACCAGTCAAAACATTTCAAGTACAATAATGTGGACTGGATAAAAAGTATGTAATATGTCACTAAATGACTTTTAATCTGACATATTTCATCAGCTATTCTAATTGATTGATTCGTGTATGCTCACGATGATGGGATCATATATTTTTATTATAAAGTCTTGCTTACAAAAAACAAAATTCCATTTAAACAGTTCAAGGTTTAAAAACACTAAAAAAATTGTTATGCCTTTATGCCTTCACTACATGTCTGGATGTTATTAACACACATTCATCTTTAAAAACCAATTTGTCACGAAATAATGAAGCAACAACACTGAGTTTTCTTGCCCATCTTTTTTATTTTATGATTAATATTCACATCACTAGTTAACAATTAAACACAATGAACATCTCTTTCATACCAAATATTCAGAATTGAAGGGGGAGGATGAGCGCTACTAATGGGACGGATGCTTCTAACAACCAACTGTTGGTTTGTTGTCTCCTGCATGCTCTTGCAACGGTGTTGTGCTCTTAACAATAATACAGCATACGCTACAGAGGGTCCACTCGGCAGTACTGAAAGGAAGGCTCCTTTGTCTGCTGTTGAAGATTATTAAATCTATGGTTGGTTTTTAAGGTTGTGCAGGGGACCGAAGCACAGCTTTTAGTGTGAAGAGAAACCTCTGCTTTTGACAGTCAAATTTTTGGTTTTACTGAGCAGCCAGCCAGTGGTTGCTGAGAGAGGAATAAAAGATAAAACAATGAGCTTCTTTTTCAGTACTGGAGTGTTGACAAAACTCTGTAGGACTGAGACAGGTTGGGACTCCAGGTACATATCTACCAACACACTACATATTCAGTTATACTACAGGTTAATTTCACCTCTAATTTTCTTTAACGTGTAATTTAACTTTAGATTTCTTCATAATTCTGTTGATGGTGACGAAACAATTTGGTCCAAGACTTGCCCTAACTCAGTCCTGTGTTGGTAGTTATGTCACTGTGTTAGTTGAGGGGCGGTCTAATACAGGACATTAGTCCATACTACATGCCAAAACACAAAGTTGGGTTTTCATTACTCTCACTCTGTTGTGGTAGACATCGGACAGATCAGGCCAGTACGCGCCGGTGCATTTCACACCGATTACGTCACTACTTCCTGAAACCAGTAATTAGTGTCGTCGTGTTTAATCGATCTTCTGAAAACAGAACAGAGACAACCTCACACATGTATTCAGATGTGTTGAACACATTTTAAAAAACATTCTTGAAACTTCATCAGCCCTTTTCTCGGTGAAAAAAGGCAGACTCTGAAAAAGGAAAAAAAAAAGTATGTTTCCTTACTTATGCTTTCACCCTTACAATAACACTTATTGAGCTAAGCTGTTGCAGGTTTACATGAACAGGTATGTTCAACTGGCAACATCCACAACATCCTGTTCAAACTTAAGATTTTTTTTTTTTCATTTTTCTGTTGTTTTAACTTTAATTAAATATTTCTGGGGTGATAAAAACACAGTGTTGATTATGTACAAAGGACAGTGTGAGATAATAGTGGAAGGGTGTTGTTAAAAGGCTACACAGAATCATTGTGAGTTGATATTAGAGTGAATCCGGTTATTACCTTTTGTCCAAGCTGCAAAGCAACATTAGCTTCTTCCCATATTCCCTTTCACAGAGTAATGCTGTACCAAATAAGTAATGCAATTCTATTAAATCTTTATAATCATGGTAGATTTAATTACTGATCCTTTACTGATCACCTCAACTGTAGATTTTTTCAAAGCTACACATTACAAATGACTATTATGAAGAGTATTATCTAGAATTTGATTTTTAGTGGCCTGGTGCAATAAATATGTTGAGATTATTTATTTAACAAAAGATAATATGACGAAAACACTCTTGCTTTTGAAAAATAGTGATTTTATATTCCCAATTTTCCTGGATTTGACCAGTTTATTGAACAGCTTCTTACGATATCAGTCAAAACAAAGTTAATGTAATTAAGGAAGAAAATGTTTGAATTTGGTAGATACTTAGTTGCCAGGCAAAGTTGTATTAGCTTGAAAGTTAATAACAATGTATTTTTTACATTTTGCACTTTCAAACACTATAGCAACATGTTAATTAAAAGTAATTGCATTACTCTTGTTTATAAGATTTCAGACGAACAGTTCTTTTTGAAGTGCAACTATTGCCAAACATTAAATGTAAGGCAGTCATGTTCATTTTGACTCTTGAAAGTTGTACTTTTGAGTAAAAATTAAATGCATATTGACTGTACCTTTTAAACCAGTCATGTTGTGCTGATATATTACAAATTAAAATAAACAAATAAAAAAATGTTTATTTTTCCATTACAAATAAACCAAACTGAGTCCCAGTGTTGAACTGTTTGAAAATGTCTGTCAGTATGGCAGCACATGGAAAACTTTGTATTAACAGCTTTAATGCACGTAAATAAAGTGCGAAAGCTACTATTTTCTGCTAGTAACGTACATTTTGTTGACCCATCTAGTTGTTGCATCTATCCTAGTGTAAATCATATTAAAGGAAGGTGTCTAAAAGTCCATTGAGGCTTTTGAGCAGAAGATAAAAAATATATGATTCCATTCAGTAGATGTGACCTTGCAGCTTGGCCAGAATGTAAATCCCAGAGAATGTCAACAAGAATATCATCAGGGCAGCCTGGAGAGCTGAGTGTTTGACTATGAAAGCCAGCAGCACAACACCGATAACCCAAGTTCCACTAAAATCCACCAAACAGCAGCTCATCTTCTCATATGACGGCGCACTCTTGAGCAACTTAGACGCAACAACAACTTTCCCCTATTCCTATAGACACAGTCCAGCACCTACATCTATCAAAGTGCCTTGATATTTCAGTTATTCTGCTTGCAAAGAAAACAAAACAAAAGAAGGATTCACATTATAATTATTATTATTTTCACATATGATCCACGCATGTGTCATGTGACGTATGTTGCTTTCAGGCAACTCGAGGGAATCGTTTGGAAGGAACGATACGATAATAAATACGCCTATTTGTGGTTCTTACGTTTTCTAGACTTAACTGTTGACTATTTGATCACTTGCTCTTTGATCACCGTAAGTTTCACTAAACTACCAAGACGGTTTTGTTCCCAGAAGCAAAGACGTACAGTACACAGCCGACAAGGTTTTACCAATATACAGTAAAGCAACTTGAGTACAGCTATATCACTTGAGTGCATCAAGAAATGACCAAGACTGTGTTCAAAGTGCACAAAACTTTTTTTTTTTTTTCCTGTAAGGGAACTTTACACGAACAATGTGGTGCTGATAATATTTAGTGTTCCAGACACAATAACAGAGCGCTAGCTTAAATAAGTACAGCATAGGGGAAGCTGGTGGGGGATGTTTGTCAGTTAACTTTTTGTAAAGTCACAGAGCCAGACTATCAGTGTTCAAGAGGCTAAGCAGCGCTCTCTACAGGATGAATGCAGTAGTAACACTTCACACATCTGACAACTACAGTACGCCACAGAGATGTCGCAAATCCCTCACCAGAGACCATCCCGACCTTGAAATCACTGTGAGCAGGACGGACACAGCCTACTCATGTTCGATTTGTGACGCGTAGAACATTTCGGAAATGCTTTGGCCTAAATCAAAGCCACATCACAGTGTCAAGGGGAGCCTGCACTAGAAATAATGTACAGCAATTTACTTTAAGGGAATATGTTTAAAACAATCCAGCCAGCTGCTCCAAAAAGGATCAAAGTGTATAATAAATGTGGCAATGTGAACAAAGCTGCTTTTAGCCTCTCCTAGTTTTAAAATGACAAGCAATTTAGAAAGAAAACTTCAAATGTATGAGCTGTTCTGGGATCTGCTTAACTAAAACACTGCTGCCTTTTAGAGCTGGGCAGTTCCTGCTGTCCAACATTGTATGATTTAAGAACATTCTGTATATTTAAACGGCATCCAACGTAAATCAAACATGCTGCACAAAAAAAAAGGTGACAAAAACTTTTTTTTGTCATCTATTTACAATACAAATGTCAGGGTAAAATATGTGCTAAGAAGAGCAGCAGAAAACTTGAAGCCTGACAATCTGCTCCTCTGAGTCTCACTATAAGTGGTAGGATTTTATTGTGTACAGAAAAAAACCCCTAAATGACTGTAAAGTTTTTAACATGAATGCTATTGTTATCATTCCCCATACATTAACTGTCTCTTCTGCTCACTTCCACCATTCTCTGTCCTCTTTCTGTCTTTGTGTCACGTAAATGGACAGGTGACAAGAAGCCTTCATTTTTAATATTACTGTATTGCTGTCAGAAAGCTGGAGAAATACACAGGAAGAGGAAAGAGATTCAGAGACGCTGCAACATGGGTAGCCAGTGTGGAAAATAAGCAACAATGACAATGAAACAAACCATTGTTTCAAAAATATTAGCAAATGTGAAGTACCCAACCGCAAAGTGGTGGCTTTTAGTGTGTGACTGTTCGGTGCTCAGGCACACCGATGTGTGTGTGTGTTTGTGAACTTATCCTATAGATATATATGTGAGTGTGTTAGTGGTTCATTGCCTACAGTGAGGGCTTTCAACCCTCAGATCTGGTGATGCACATAACCAGGGGGAACAACAGATTCATGAGGGAAAAAAAGGGACCATATGCCTGCTTTTCTCTAATGATTGTAGACCAGACATGTCTCAGAGTAGCAGCTCTCTCACAGGGGTTGCAGGAGTGCAGGAAAGTGTGGTGGACCATAAAAAGGTTAGTGTCATGAGTAGAAAGACAGAAACATGTGCTGAACAGAGTAATATGTATGTCTGGAAATACTTAAATGAGTCTGGCGTGGGAGAACTTTTTTTTTTTTTTTGCCATTTCAACTGGAGACCAACCACGAGACCAACCTCAATTAAATATTTAATACGGTAAAAAACTAAAGATTGCTGCATCTTCATAAGCATTATATCCAGACTGTTTAACACTCATATTTGTGTACAACTTGGCACAAGAATTATTCTAAATATTGCATATTTGTGGTTAACACATCTCTGTAATAGCCACTGGAAAAGCTTCTGATCTTTGTTTTCTAGATCATAACATCAATTATGCCAGGACATATTCCATCATTAGATAGATGCTGTTTGCAACAACTGTTACAGGAGGTCCTTTATGTTAATTGATTTAAAAGGGGGAAATATAATGTGACAAACAAAAGGGACAAGGTCTTCCTGTTACAACCCTAACTTCCAACAGTATAATCAATTTAAAGCCAAGACCACTCAGAGAAGCTTCCAACATTCTCCATCCTTCCTCTTTTAACATTCCTTTGAGGTAATCACCTTTTCTAATAATGTCTCCAACTGAAAGAGTGAGTTTGAAAGCTTGCCAGGATAAAACACGGCAACTATGAATACATATGTTCGGCCTTACTGTTAACTGCTTGAAAAGTTTTACTCTCTTGCAACCTGAATAACACGCAGACACATCTCGGCATGTCAGAAAATACAGATTCCCTTTAAAGAACTTCCGACATCCCTCTGACTTCAGTTTGAAACATTTCACATTTCACTAGTGAAAATAGCTAACTTTAAGTTTTCTTCGCTTAGTAAAAAGATTGACGCTGAAGAAAGTTGTCAAATATGGTATGTTCACGAAAATATCCGGTTTCTGAATTTCCAACTTATCGTGAACAATCAAGCTGAAAAACGGGTTTATTCTGGTCATCAGCTGGTTTCTTGGTGCTTTTCTCATCCTAATGTACCGCCTACGTCTGACAAAAAATAAGCTTTTGAACTTTATTTTGAACACTTCTAAGTCGATTAGAACGCCATGGTGTTCTCTGCAACCACCTCTACCAAGTCTATCAGGAAAAGTTTAATACGGAGTTAAACACATTACTGCAGTTATTTTTTCACTGAATAAACCATATTAACCTTATCATAATGAGTGTGGTTAAATAGTGTGAGCAGTTGAATACCAGTAAGAATGACTAGATGAGACGTAGTGACATCTGAAGGACTGAACTGGAAGTGAAGTACAGTTCTATTGACACGGTTAGAACATCAGTGGAGTTTTGAAAGGTGAAGCTTTTCAAAAAGATCCGAGAAAAGTGTTTTATCAGCACTGAGACTCGTAGGTTGAACAATATTTGAAGAAGGCGACTCTGCTTAAGGGTATTTCTGTGTCTGGGTTGTTACATTTTGTGAACAGGGGTAAAACTTAACTATATCTGCGGTTACGAGATGTTAAGCTGGTGGAGCCCCACAAAGAGCTGTGTAGACAAACATCAAGTGGTCTCCTTTGTGGGTTATGGGGCAAAATGTCAGCTCGGGTGCTTTTAGAGGTCAAAAATCAGGGTCGGTAGGAGGACACTGGCAGGCAGACCTCAGAGAAACGCTGAGAGGCAGTCGGTTGATCCGATGCTGCAGTGGGTGAGGTGAAGGGCGGGGCCAGAGGGAAGTGACTGTGCCGTGGTACGTTTGTTGGTCAGTTGATTGGCAGGTCAGTGAGCGTCATGCATGTCCCACCACTATCTGGAGCTCACAGGGACTCAGTCTGTAGAAAAACATAAACAAACAGACTCAGAAAACACAAGAAACAGAGAATCTGGAGAGATGATGAAATGGCAACGATGAGCTTAGAAAATACTGAGTAGATGGTCTGTAGATAAGAGTTTGCTGCTGTTTAGTGGAGTTTCATTTGAATGGCAGGTCAAAAAGCTTTTTTTTTTTTTATGGTGTCGGGGTCAGTAGAAGGGCACTGGCAGGCGGCGTCCTGCCTCTTGGCCAGGACTCACTTGAAAATCTCAGTGGGATTATCCTGGTAACATAAAAGTTGAATAAAGAAAAATAATGCTGCAGCCATAAATCAAATAAGCTCAGTCTGATATCAGCATGAGGTAGAAGATTCCCGCTGTCTTTGATCTCACAGTCTGGTGGCCTGTTGCAGTAATGAAGAGTAATTTATCTACAAAGACCTGTTAATCTTTACTCTGAAGGTCTCCTCATAATTTCATTTATTGGCTATTTTTATCACTGCAGCAGAGCATGAACACCACACCACCTTGGGCTGTTCAAAGAAAAAAAAATATATATATAAAAATATACACTCTGGGATGCATTTGCAATTATACCTTGATTTAATATGCTATAAAACCAAGATAGTTTTTCAAATTGCTCACATTTGGTTTCTGAATTACAGACAACCAAAACCACTCCTCACTAGTTCCAAGACAGTAAGTAATATCTCACCGACTTGGAGGAGCTCTCTATACTAGTGTAAAGCTCATTTTTGGTACTAATCTCCAGGACAAAAAAGCTCATTTTTGGTACTAATCTCCAGGACAAAAAGTTCACCCATTGTCATTAGCAAATATTTTCCAGCTCTAGTTCAGATCAAACCAAATTCATGTGCTGGAACATGCTAGTTAAAGCCGGGGATCTAAATCCAATCAGGCTGAGCAGCAACACCAGAAAAATGCTGGTCATATATGCTCTCCATTCCATCAAGTTTCATCTATCTTGCAAAGAAGGGCAGCGGCTTAGGTCTCTTTAAAGCTGTCCCCAAATATGCACTAGTGTCTGCTGGCCTATCAGATAAAGTAAAAACAAAGTTGCACCATGACAGAGTGAAAATATTATTGAGTATGTAGATTTTTGAAAGGCACTACAATAGATGATTCAGCTGTGTGTTCTAACACACCCTTGTTCTGGGCTGTTAACCACAAACAAGAAGTCTGCTGTCATCTCCTCTTTCCTCTGAGTGTAGGCCATCAGTCACATGACCGTGCGGTGCAAGAACAAAGCTCGACAGATAAAGCAACAACTGAAAAGTTAAAATCACAAATATGCTTTTTCAATTTTGCCAACATGAGCACTGTGTAGGATTCTGCACCCACTTTTCTCAGCGATGCGTTTGTCTATGCTAAGGGGCTCCTTTAGACCGTCCCCTCCGAAAGGAGAAGGTGTGGGCTCCTTCATGCCGTTCTCCTTAGCAACGCTTGCCGGTGCAGTTGTTTGTTGTAGTGCACCACTTGCTGGTGGAGATGTCTTCTCTCCTGTTTTTTCCTCCTGCGGCCAAATATAGATGAGCACAAGGACACACAGACAGGTGGGCAGAAAACAAAAACAAAAAATATGTTTTCGTCACAGCCAACTCTTGAACTCTCACACCACCTAGTGGCGATAGGTAATAGCAGCACAGTGAGTCAGCAGGACCAGAGAATCTTAGCTGTCTATGAAAAATACAACACTGCAGACTGTGTTTAAATTGAACCTTGTGTCCATTTGTCTGCTCGCTGCCTGGTCCCACGTTGTCCAGGGATCCTATCTTAGACTTGGCCTTGATGTTGACCTTGTGGGATTCGATCTTCACGTCACCACCGCCTGGAGCAGGAAAACAAAAAGTGGCCTTGAGAGCACAATGGAGGCGGTTAAGAGTTTAAAGGGAGGAAAAACAGAAGAGTTTAAAGCTGAACCTGGCTTATGCTTGATGTTGTCCTTGGAGCCACATTTTGAGGTCACCTTGCTCACGTCAACCTTCTTATTCAAGATTTGCACCTGGAGGAGAACACACACCATAATGCTGCCCATTAAATCACCAGATCCAGCGCAGAACGTAGCATTAGCATCCACTCAGCTCAACAACAAAACCCATTTACTTTTCGAGGTGTCAGCATCATGCTTTTACGGTATGAATGCAAAATGCTGGAGAATGCCATTCAGCTTAAATTTCATAGAGAAACACGTTGCACATACTTTATTTGTCCTTTGTTTGTCATGTTCTTTTTTTGTTGTTTATATGCATCTCACAAAAGTGTCTATAATGATGCATTTGCTGCTTTTTAATTCTAGTACTGCAGGAATTGGGGGGCCTCCCGTGGGATTTGGATTTATTTTAGACACTCAGATATCTTTTTCAGGAATCAAATGATCACAACATGCACACATTTATATAAATCAAACGTAAAATGGTGCACAGTATGTGCAGGTAGATGGTCTAAAAATGGCAAAATTAGCCTAGCTTAATCTTCAGACTGACTTGGTACATAAATCCTCACTATATATTAATACAATAAAACCTTTGGTGTTTTATTCACAAGCCTTAGCTGGCAAAGCTGTTGTTGAGAGCAGCCAAGAGATGCAATGGGATAGTGCAGCAGGTGTTTAAAGCAGATGGGAAGAACAACCGGAGGGGTGGACGCTCAAAAGTAAAATCAATCAAAAGTGCAAACAGTGGGGGCCACTGATGTGCTAATTACAATGCTTCAATTCCAGGCTACTTTGAAGATGATCAGTTTCATTTAAACGTTTGATATAGGAGAAGGCGGCTTGATAGCTGAACTCAATTTCCTCCTCGCTCTGATGGATACTCCAATAGTTTCTAGATCAGACCCAATCAGCGAAGATTGACGGATCCAGAATGTCCATTCTGCATCAGAGTGAATGGATCTCTTTGAAACATTTGGCTTTAAAGCAAGCGGCGAGGGCTTTGCATAATATGTATATAAAAAAAAAGGAGAGATGCAAATGCGTCCAACCGATCCAGAGTCTTGCCCTTGGCTCCAGCAGTACTTACATTGCCACCTCCAGGGACATGTTTGATATTGTCCTTGGAGCCACAGCGGGAGGTGACGTGGCTGAAGTCCAGCTTTTTGTGCACTATCTGAACCTAAAGACAGGCAGGCGGGGACACACACACAAAAGCGAAAGAGAGAAAGGAAGAAAAAAGAAGAGAAAGAGAAAGAGAGGAAAAAGAAAGAAAGTAGCAGCAGAAAAGAGCAGATCAGCTGGCGGCTTTAGATGGCCAAAAACAGAGTAGACTTGTACTAAAACTATGGAAGAGATTCTGTTATTGAGTTGCTTCGCTATGTTAGCTCAGTGGTTCTTGAAAGCATTGTTAATTGCACATTTTAGGGAACACTTCTTTAAAGGGGGGTGCGTTCTGACAGAATAACAAGAGTGCTTCCATAAAATGCGTTAGCTACATTAAAACAGCACAGAAAATGAGACCGAGCACATGCAGCAAAAAAAACAAAAAAAACAAAAAAAAAAATCTGTGATTTTAGAATTGGTGCTACTCAAAACGAAAGAAACAGAAAGTGACAGACGGGGCTGCTACCTTTCAAAACTTTACAATGTAGCCTGTGCCCATGATTTTTTTTTAAACGACCTGCTGCTATGCACATTTGTTTGGCTGACCTCCAAAGCAAACCTGTCTTTCACCTTCAACATGACAAACATTTAATGAATACAATGATTTTTGATTTTGTTTTCTGCTTACTCTCACTGCTCCCAATCTACTGCTGCATACTGCTGATCAGATGGCTGAAAGAAAACTCCTACACTTTTGTTACCCTTACAAGAAAGACAAATTCAAATACACACACACACAAAAAACCGGACTCTGTTGGGCATGTTTGTAAAGCAGCTGAAGGCTGGATGACTAACAAACAGTTTGTCCAACCAGTAAAGTAGCTGAAATTATCTGAAACACATGTTGCTCATCAGGAAAAAAAAAAGATAAAACCACTATTGGTCTATTATTAATCCTTGTCAAGATAAAAATAGAAACACGATACATGTATGTCATTTAACTGTGATATTCAATAGGTCACAGTAGGAAAGTTTTAAGATTTGATGCTTTTAGGTCAAAGCTTTTAAATTATGTTATGCATTTTACATTTGTGTGTAAGCACAGCAGAACTATTATATTTTTACACATGGTTAAAGGGAATATCTCATCTGAAAATTCAAAGTTGTCTGAAATGAGGTGAGAAGAAATACTCCAAAGCTTGAAAGTGTTTTTGGTTCAATCAAGGATAATGAAGCATGGATATGATGCTGCTTGATAAACACATTATCAATATGTCTATACCTATTGCAGTTCAAAAGGTTTTATTAAGCAAATCCGAATCTTAAGAAACTAACTTCTTCACTACAAATTATTTATTGCGCTGTAAAAATGGAGCAAATTTAGCTCCACATCGCAAAATGCTTTGATGTTGGCAAGAAGAAGCACGTCATTTTCAATAGTAATAAAAATATATTATGACAAAGAAGAAACACGTTTTTTGTTGTGCACTAAGGTGACTCAAGTGTAGGAAATGAATTTGAGTTAAAGGAGACAATTTATCAGTAGTATTGGCTAAAGACTTTTGAGAATAAAACCAAGCAAGGTGGGAGAAATAAATTTCATGAATCTCTACTATGTATTCGACATAAAGATAAACGTTTGAAACGTGTGAAATAAAAATGCCCAGCAGCAGACGTAAGGCGGGTTCCTCCGATCTCTTTGTGTCTAAGTCTCCCTCGCTTGGATAAAACACAGCACGATGACGCAGGTGGAACAGGCGCCGGATGACTCACTAAGCACAGCGAGCACACATACATGAGCATACACACACAGGAGCAGCTGGGCACGAACACCTTCTCCTGCTGTGTTTTTTTCTCATTTATGTTGGACTAAAAAAAAGAAAAAAATCATCAATTTACGCAGACAAATCAAGTTGCTGTGATGTTACGGTTCATTTTTAAACCTTAAAACTGCAATTTTCAATCATAGAGAATGCAATAGGATAATATCCTACAGCATTTCCACCACTGAAGAAAAGCAAAGCCTGTTTCAAAATAATAATTGGACTGAACTTTTACAGCGGTTTTCCAGTCACACCGACTACTCTAAGTGATTTACAATAGAGCCAGGTTCGCCCAGTCGTACTCAAAAACCCAATGATACAACATACACAGATGAGTAGGCAGTTTAGTGCCAAGCAGAGACCAATGTGAAAGGAGGAATTAATCCCACAACCTTCAGTTGCAAGACCGCTGAACCCACAGTCACCTTATTTGTTTGTTTCATGCGGTAAAACGAGTCAAAACTTTAATATGATGATGTGAAAAACTAAATTCTTGGACAGAGATTATGGTACCCACTAAGTTCTTTGTTTCTTGAATATTGTTTCCACATTTTGTGATGTTGTGATGTCAAAACTACATATTTCAATGTTGTTTAAGGATTTTCTCTGACAGTCCAAAATAAAGTAATGTAAAAGAAGTGGGAGAAAAGTCATGCATGGTCGGAAAAGGTTTCGAAACATAAGAAGGAAGAAATTGAGGTGTGCGTTCGCATTCAGCCTCTCTTAAGCTGATAGCTCTAATTACAATCAAATCCCTTCAGAAATCAAGTACTTAGTAAACAAAGTCCAACTGTGCGTAATTTCAGTAGAAGTCCAGATGTTTTGAGAGAGGCTCTTTTGTCAGAGTTTGATGTTTGTCAGAAAAAAATAAATAAATTAGTGAATAAGCAGCGTTGGGGAGACAAAGGAAAGTCAAGCTGTGGAGATATTTAAAATCAGGGTTCGGCTATGAAACAACAAAAAATGAACATCCACCTAAGTCGTCAACAAAGCAGCTCTGTTGTAGCTCAGGGGCAGGAGCAGAGATTGTTAATGATTCAGGTCAAAGCATAGTTCAACTCTAAATCAAATTAATTTTCTGTGGTAAACCAGAGAACGAATTGTCACTCATGCTGTATAGTCTGACTTAGCTTGGGCTTTTCTGCAAGTCTCTAGATGTGCAAGGCTTCTACAGACATACTAATTGCTGCTGTAATTTCTGCAAAAGATGATTTTAAAAAGTTTGAACATAATGGGTGGAAGGTTTGGTTGAATTCGTAACGCCCCCCTTTAAGATTGTTATTGTAAAAGAATGTGCAAAACCCAATTATTGATTCTTGTCATTATTGTGCCTTGCTCTGCCACATAAAATACAAGTAAAATAGATTTGTGCCAGTAAATGTAAAAACTTAAAGTCCACAAAAAACAGCCCAGAATTCACATTGTTTATTTCTTGGACGTCTTTTTTTTTTTTGCCTTGAAAGTCCGACAGCTGCCTTCACTGTCACTGGAACTGGGAGATGAAAGAAACAGTTCAGAAAAAACACAGACATACAGTAAAGGAAGCAAAGCCGCGGTCTCAGATTTTCAGCTCGACATGCTGGCAGATCTCCTTTGGCCTGCTAATCAAAAGTGTAACTGAAACATTTTTTTCTGCTTTGTTTTATTCTTAGGATGGACGTGCACAAGTGCACAGAAAATGGAGGAAAGAAACAGAGATATTTATCCATGGCTGCACTGAAATCAGGCGTCGCTGGAGGCGAAGCCGGAGACAACAGAAGAACAGAGGAAACATTTTGAACGACTCCATTTTATACAAGATGTCACATCAAGCAATGTGGGTCCCTTGCTACGTCCTGCAGACAGTATGAGTGGAAGCAGATGTGTGAAAAATGGAATTAGTTGACTTAGATTGGTTGTGGTGCAGTGACATCAACATGTTAGAGATAATGAAACAATGCAAAAGAAACAATTTAAAAAGGACCTTTTTATTTAAAAATGTTGTATCAAGAATTACTTCTACCTTTGTTGGTGGAAAATGTTTTGACATTACAACTAACTCTTTGTATGGTTCTTCTGCAGCTTTTTGCTTTTTTCCACTGGCATTCTGATGATTTATCCTTGGAGGTAAGCTCCAAGTCTACGAGTTTAGGATGCCTCCTTGCCATCACCCTAATCTTTAGTTCTCTCCATGAATTCTTCATCAGATTCCAGTATGGACTCTGGGCCCAAATCATAAATACTACTTCGACCCAAAGAAATCAAGTTGGTAAAATAGAAGATGACTTTAAAGTCTGCAAAGGGGATTGATTAATTTTGGTCTCTTTCACTTCTTAAAGGTAATCAAAATAAAGCTCAACACTGTCCGACACAAACACAAGACAGTACAATGTGTTACTATTAAAAAAACTACCACTTTTACAACTAAGTTCAGATATTTTTCATCCATTCCTGGAGTATATAACTAATAACGAACAGTGGAAATAGCACAAACATAAAACAAAAACAAAGTGTAGTTTGTGATGTTTCTATGAACATCAAGCCGTGGTGTGTGTTGAGTGGATGTAGATAGGATGAGTGGCATTTTATGGCGAACGCAGATAGGTGGGAGAATGCCGTGGTGTGTGAGGTGGCAGAGACTCACTCTGGCCTTGGCGGCGGGGGTGGCAGGGTCAGATGTCTTGTTGTTCGGGGTGGAGGAGACCTGGGGAGACAACCAGGCCCCTAGTCAATAAAAACCTCCAACCAACCACACGCCAAAGCACAACGACGTGGAGGAGCAGAAGATCGCAGAGGGCCATGAGGTGGATCAAAAGGAGAGCGGCTGGGTAAATCCGACGTGTGTGTGTGTGTGCATGTGTGTGTGGGTTGTTACAGCCAATGAACATCAAGGAGTGGGTGGGAGAAAACACAACATGAATCAAGTACATCTAGTCCACAGACTGAATGTATGAACCATTTTAAACAAACAGTCTGTGTAAATGGATCAGAAGATATTTAAATGGTAAGAAACTGAAGCAGATGGAGCGCCTTCAAAATGATAACAATGAAACAGTGGATGAGTTCAGATTTATTAAAACTGAATCATATTAGTGCTAAGCGACAATTATACTGTCTTGCTGAAGCATTCATATCATTTGGACTTTTTCACGTCTTTTTTTTTTAGTCTGTTTTATTATTTAATGGGATTTTTTGTGACAGAACATAATTTAGCCCATAACTGTGGTAAGGGAATGTATTCAACCCCCTGTCTGAATAACTCACTGTAAATATGCTATATTTGCTGTATTTCATATCTATGTTTTTTGGGGGGTGATATCTCATGACTGCAGGTTTTGTCATCCTTATCTAATTCTGCTGAATCGAATTGAGAGTGTCTGGGACAGAAATGTCAAAATGTCACGTTTTCCTGCTGTGTGTTCAGTTTTTAGTCTAACCAGCCTCTAGTTTTTTTTTTCTTAGCTTAACTTTGTGTTAATCTCCCAATACTCGTAACCAGAAACAGAATCTGTAAAGAAATATTTAAATTTCTTTACGAGCTGTCATGGTGTGTCATGTGATGCTTATAAATCTTGCAGGCCTTCGTAAACGAGCTGGCTGTAACTTACACACAAGGGAACTGAAAACAGTTGGATGTACTGAATTTTATTTAAGGTTATCTAATTTAAGGAGGCTGAATACAAACTGCATGCAACACGTTTCTGATTTCTATCTTTAAACAAATGAAGATTCTCATCTTTCTGTTACAATTTGTATTTATTTATTACTTTGTGTCAGTTATGTCGCCTAAAATCCCATTAAATAAGCTGGGATGGAAGTTTCAGGGTATAATGTGACAAAATGTGAAAAAAATTCAAATGTGTGTGAACATTTCTGCAACGGTGGTATAAACAGCTGCACAGAACAGCATGAGACCAGACAAAGAATGAGGAGACACATCCCAACAATGGTCTGCAATTTAGCAAATACAACACCACCAGCCACATTACAAAGTACTGAGATGTAAAAAAAAAAAAATATATATATATATATATATATATATAATATATATCGCAGATGGATGGTAAGTAGAACAAAAACAACAACAACGAGGTAAGTTGATGCGTACATCGTTTTTGTTAGTGTGATTCAGGGCAGTGGTTAATTCTGGAAAGGGACAAACAACATGTCTGACAAAAAAACAACAACAAAATAACATGACATAGGATTCACCCCCAGAGTTCCTGTAAAAATAGACGTGTGTCTGAAAATCCAAGGCCAATACAGTTTAAAGAAATGTACCTAACATTACACATGTCACCTGATAATTGTGGGGGAAACAAGAGGTCATAGTGAAGACGAAAAGGAGTGACGCCAAAAGAGATGTGCGCCTGCTGATCTCTTAGAGAAATTCAGTGCAGATGGCGTCTCTGTGGGTCTGTGGAGGGTTTGACAGATGTGAGCAGGTTTGTGAACCCTGCTTCATCCAGCTACAGACTGCTGCATCCTGGCCTGCAGCTCCACAGCACGACCAGGCAAAAGAAGGTTAATGACGCATGGACTGATCTGACAGAGAGCTCTGCACTTTTTAAGGAGAACAGAAGGACAAAATTTGCTCCTGCGCTGTTAGATAACAAGAAGCTGCCTCACGCGGTGTAGATAGTCTTTAAACTGCAAAAGAGCCAAAATTAGCTTTCACTATCCTCAGAAAGAGTAAAGGCATCAACATATACACAGTACGATGAAAGGATAAAGAACTGCATAATTTATTGAGGTGCAAAAACATATGGAGAGACATCTGTAAGAATTCATCAATGATTTTGTACTAACTAATGCAAAATAGTTCAACACTTTGAATAGTAGATGTTGCAAGTCTCCCATGCCTGAATATGAAACTTTAGAATAAATTCATGTTTGCTTTTGCCTCCAATGAAAGAACGGAAAGACAGCAGACAATTGAGTTAAGAATATCTTTAGTTAACTTTACATTTGAGTTTAATGTATCCCATTAATAGCTAAAGATCAGTTATCAGGTGATGGCAGGAGACACCAATCACCTCGCACTAGATAGCATTCTATCTAGTGAGAGCAAAAATAAAAAAAAAAAAGCAACAAAAAAAAACTTTTTTGTATTACTGGAAGTTATTGTCCACCCCAAAACAGTACTCACAGAAGTGAAGTTCGGACACAATGGTGTGTGCAATTAGGCATTGATACTAAACATAAAAAGTGGTCTAGACTGGGCAGATTAAAACCAGGCCAGTGGGATGCATATAGGGATGCATAAAACAAAGTTATTTGCTATATGCAAAGTAACTTTAATAATATTCACCAATTCTAACATGGTGAGTGATCAAAAATGAATTTGAATAATGCCATTATCTTTTGTTTGCCTGAAACTTCTTGACGGAAATTTATCCTTTTTATAACATCATTGAAATTGGACCGTTCCACTCTGAAAGAAGGTCGCTTCAAATGCATTATTAAAGGTTTAGTCTTTGTACGTCATGCATTACCACAACCAGTGTAAACCTTTGACCTGAAGCGTAGCCAAAAGAAGACCCGGTTCTGTGACAGAAAACTTGGAGAAGATGGACAAACGACGATGAGCTGCACTGACAGAATATCACAAGGCAAGGCAAGCAGATAAGGGGATCATGTCCATGATTCAAAGTGACAGCACAATTCTCTCCCCAAGACAAGGAGTCACAAACACCAAAGAGACAGAGACAGACAACCAAGTCAGGACACTGAGACATGACAAGATTTGACGTGCAGGCAAAGTATTTGGCATGGAACGAAGGCTGCTTAGCACATTTAAACATGTGCATGTTGAAATGTTTTGTCCATGTATGCTATCATCTTCACAGGGAGATGAATACACCGATGAATACAGATAATGGAGCATGCTGAATGGAGCTGACAGACAGAGGAAGCCAGCAGAAAGATGAAGGAATCGGTGGATCGATGCCGGGAAAGAGAAAGATGTTATCAGAGATTTATAGCTGCTTATCTCCTCATTATGAGAACAATTATAATCATGGAACCTGGTTCAGAAAGCCGCCTTTGAAAAATGATTCTCAAAAGAAAATAATCCCATTCCATTTCTGAAATTACACCAGCATTTAATTGAACTGTAAGTTATAATGGCAATGACTTAAAAAAAGTCCACTAACTCAAGGCTCATACAATTTATGTGATTTGGTTTTCAATGAAAATGCGACTTTTTATTTCAACATCTTTTGTGTTCCATTGTCACGGCTATGGCTGAGTTTCCTTTATAAGCTTCACAATAAAAAGTTTCTTTTATTGTGATGTAAATATTCCACTCTAAAGAGCAACAGATATAAGTACAGGTCCATGAAATGTAATTAAATGATCCTCCAAAGAGAAGTCTGACCAGTTTTGCTGATTAGTAGCAGCTAATTGATGTTACTTTAAGACCAGAACACAGTGGTGGTCAAAGGGCGGCATTAAAACAGCAGCCCTTATTATTTCATCAGCCAGAAGATCCACAACGCCTGGACTGGGTTCTGTATTCAGGCTTTGCAGCTCATTATGAAAACATCTCACTCCAACTTTTAATGTGTGGCCTTCGTATCAGTTCTAGATGTTTATATAAAAATGTTTCTTAAATATACAGCCATTTTCACTATATGTCAGAAGCATACTTTGCATAATTTTGTGCCGTTGTGAAGATTTTATGTGCCTCACTTGCAATACTTCTCACTGTGTGTGGTGACCCTCTTCCAGCTTGGTTCGCTGATCCAGTTGTCTTATTAAAGTTCTTTCATTATTATTATTTAGACACAATTATTATATATATATAATATATTATACTATATGTCTAGTCATATAGATTAGCTGCTTTTTTTTTAGCCATTTCCTGATCGAAGAAGATCAACACACATCCATGTTAGCTGAATGGCTTTTTCTCTTGTCTTTGCCAAGAGGGACTAAGAACAACAGGCCACTGTGTCACATTATATGTACACAGACTATTTTATTTTTATATCTATACCCCAGGTAAACAAGAAGCCATGTATGTAAAAACTGAATGTTTCTTAATCAGTTGGTGACATTTATTTTATAGAAATGGTTGGGGATACTTAGAACTGTGGCAGCTGTAATTTGTAATTTGTCTGAAACTAATTATTTTCCAAAAGTTGTTTTTTTTTTTGTCTCTTACGAAATGAATGAAAATTCAAGCCTTCATTTTATTTGTATTTTTCTGTGACAAATTAAACTTCTGCGCTTTACTCCAGAAGTTGATGACTTGATGCCATTAGGTGAGATTTTGCCAACAGGTAGGCAACTTTGACTATATTGTAATATAACTGCAATATGTAGAAACAGCAGAAAAAGCCTTTTGGAATTCAAACTATGTTATTATGATGTAGCACTTGGCAGCTATTTGAATTACAAACTACCAGCTTGTTTGTTCCACCTTTCAGGAATCCTGACAGGAACATCTCTGTTCTGAATGAGTTATTAACCCCTCTCAGGCGCAGACCCCCTTTTTCGTTCCCCTTACCTTCCCGCCTCCCGGCTGGTACTTGATGTTGTCGATGGATCCAATCTTGGAGCGCACATTCTTCAGATCTGGCGTCGGAGCGTTGATGGGTCGCGGGGTTCGGGGAGGGCGAGGCGCCGCTGGTTTCTTCTCTACAGGGGTCTGCTTGGGCACCGGGGGTTTCGTGATGACGCGGCGGCGATGGGTGGCGGCACCTTCACCATTGGTGGAGGCAGATGGGGTAACCGGTGTGGCTGTGGATGCGGGGTGAGGACGCGCTGGAGGGGACAAGAGGATTACCTTCTAATGACTGTGAAGCAGGAAATATAGAATGGGGGAATTATCACCCCATTCTGTGCTATCAAACATCTTAAATAGCTCTTAATATTGTAACCAAGAATAAAACTTTACTTTTCTTACTTGTAGTTTTGGGCTTCTTGGCCTCCCCCGTCTTGTTCTCATTCTTGTCATTTTTGCTAGCTGAGCAGAGGGAGAGACAGCAGTTTGACGCAAACATGTCCCTGACTGATTCACAGCCTCCTTTCTTAGAGAGGTGAGATTCTGTTTGTGATGTGCAGATAAAAATATGAATGCGGTGTCTAGGAAAGGTTGCAGTTAAATCTAAAGTATAACATGTGATAACTTTTTGCCTGAGGGGTGCCAGTGTGACTCATTGCTCCAGGTTATCTTAGAGTGAGTCTCAGAGACAACAATGTTTCTATAAAGTAATTGTGTAGAAAGAAGTATAGAAACTCAAGATGTCTTGTCAGAGATGACACTGTGTATACCTGTGGTCTTATTCGCCGCTGCTGCAGAGGTGCCGTTCTTACTGGGGGCCTGCCGAGGAGTGGGCGTGGCCTTTGGTACGGGTGGACGTTTCTCTGCGGCGCCATTTTCTGGAGTCTGAAATTCAAAGACAGTCAAGTCTGGGCCACTTCATCTGGGTCGTTTACCAAACACATGAACCCACAGGATTCAGTTGTTGCCTGCAGTTGAAAAAACAATAGAAAATAAAACCAAATCTGCACATAGTTATCAGTTTAAATGGTTTGCCACCAAGTCATTTGTTGTATTGAGCATAAAGCACAGATAAAGGTATTAAAGCCATGTTTAGTAAGAGAGAAAGGAAATTTTCAGTAATGGGACCCTATTAGAGATATTTATGTCTAAGCAAGGGGCTGAATCGCACAGACGGCCAAGCACACAAAAGCACAGCAGTCACCACGCTCTTACCTTTAGAAGTTAAACTCTCTTTCTCCATTGAAAAGTTTAATTTTCTGCTTTAAGGTTCTGCGTTTCTACTCCTGAGTAGAGCAGTTTGTCAAACAAAAAACCCTCAACACCGTTGAACTCAAATTTCTCTAAAATGCCACTCACCAACACATTTTCAAACAACACCGACAACAAAAGATCAGAAATCAAATGCAATAAGCAGAGGTAGGAGTTTTAAGGGCTCTGTGAATTAGCTCTACTGTTGAGGATTTTTCTAACTCAGTTAAACATGATAAAGACTCGTCATGGTATTTGCATAATTTCCTACAGAGGCGCAGAGTATCAGTGGCCTTTAAGCTTCCTTGCACAGCGTCCTCTGAGGATGTTAATCCTTTTGTGTGACAGTATGAACATAAATGTTTATTTCTGCCTCTTTGGTGCGCATGCTTCTTTTCACTGCTGTGTGCACACAGGCCAATAAAATTCTAATCAGGCAGCAATGAGTAAAACAAAGCATGAGAGTTAATAAAAGGTTAAGGCACACACCTGAAATTCATGAAGAAAAGCAGGTGGGATGAGGCTTCAATATTATGAGATTTGAAATGAGATTTGGGACAGAGGGATGGTCCATGATGTCTGACGTCCCACAGGAAAAGAAGCACTTTTAAAGTTTTATTAGATGGGAGATTTTGTGTGGGTAAAAAATAAACACCTTTTATGAGCTTCTTCAAGCAGAAGTGAAATGTCCTGATTGTGAAGTTTTTGCAAAGTTTAAGTGGACACTGCATGTATAAACTGAGACGTTTCCCTTTTCCTCTATGCCAAAGTTTACCATGCAAAAAACATGCTGATCAATTAAGGCTTTATTGATGCGCTGCATCATTTCATGTATGACACAAAGGATTTGAACTCACCTTGGCAGCCTTGGTCGAGCCTGTGGCTGGCTGACGTTTTGCAGCGGTGGGTGTGGTCGCCTTGGGCACAGGGCTTTTTTTATTGGCTGCAGTGGGGGAGGGGCGTTTGGCAGAGTTGGCCACATCATTGGTGGAAAGGGTGGATGGACGCGATTTGGCTGAGTTTTGTTTGGTTGGACCAACATCAGGCTGGGTTATGAATGCAAATGGGGGGGGGGGAAGGCAGAGTAGCAAAAAATAAATAAATAAAACCCGAAAGAGAAGAGAAAAATAAATAAAGGAGGGCAAAGAGGGGGGAGAAGGAAATGCAGCGGTGAAATCTCAGCAGCAACAGAAATATGGCAGCATAGCCAGAGTCCATATGGCAACCATAAAAAAAATAATAAAAATAATTACAAAAGATCAACTGGAAACGCACCTTCCATAGGTAATGAGCAGTAAATTATAAAAGCATCAAATGAAATAACTGAGCAACCCACAGAGAGCAGATGATATGGAAAGTGGCCTGAGGTGTGACTCACTACAGCACATCCAGAAAACACCCACATTAAATATCTGCATGATCAAAGATCACTTTGGAGTGGTAAGAGCATTTCTGTTACCACTGGATCCACTGCCACTTTGACTGACGTGAGTTCGTGCGTGTGTGTGTGTGTGTGTGTGTGTGTGTGTGTGTGTGTGTGTGTGTGCGTGTGTGTGTGTGTGTGTGTGAAGGGCACTTTGGGTTGGTGTGTTGCAGACGCTCACCTTGCTCTTGCTGTCGGCGCTTGGCACGGTTTTGCTGCTGTTGCCTGTGGGAGACTTGGCTGGGCCTTTTCCTCCCCTCTCTTCCTTCTTGTCAGCCGGCTTCTTCTCCTCCTCCTTTTCGTCCTTGTTAGTCTTCTCTGGCTTGTCCACCTTCTCCGGCTTCTCGCTAGCCTTGTCGTTCAGCTTCTCCATCTTTTCCTCGCTCTTGAGGATCATCTCTGGCTTCTGGTTCTTGTCAGTGTTGTTGTCCTTCTTCAGCTGCTCTTCCTTCTTGTCCAAGTTTCCGATTTTGTCCGTCTTGCCGGAGAAGATGTCCATCTTCTCCTGCTTCTCCTTGTTGTCAGGTTTCACTGCCAAGGAAAGAGTTTTGTGGCCAAAGTTAGGCTAATTTAATAAAGCATGCTTCGAGAAAATAGCTGATAACAAATACAGTGAGTATATACAGTATAGCTGGGAAAATGTCATGTTTTTGAGAGAGATTTCAGAAAACGTGACCAATCTAATTTAAAATACATTTTGTAAAATGTAAATAAAAAAACAGATCTGGTATAAACTCTTTTTGGGCAAACATTAGATACTAAATTGGGTTAAATAAAACCCAATATATTTGGGTTTTACCCCTTTGCATCTTCTTGCTAAAGCCACTGTTACCAAGCAGTTACTTTTGAATTAAATTATAAAGTTCACATTTTGGACAGTATTGACCCATAACATTAAGCAGCATGCTAGAAATCAGAAGTCAACAGCAACAAAACTAGACATTTTACCACAAAAATGCAGAGTTTCTAAAGCTTTAACATCCATTGTAATTTTTTTGCTCCTTTATTGTGGTAGATTCTCTGGAAATTAATATGCAAGTTGTAGAATATAAATAATTCCAGGTCAATTAGATTTAATACAATTGATTGAAAACTGTTGTTTAAGAAATGCATGTAAAATCGTCATATTTCAAAGAAATCTCATATTTATGAGACACAAACAGGCCTATGTTTGGCTTGTAAAAAAAAAACCCTTCGAACTGAAAGCTGAGTTGATTAGTTTGCGAGTTTGGCTGCTGCTTAAAATACTTCATTCCTAATGGTTGAGAGGACACAAATGAAGGTGACATTTTACAATGTCCTAAAATAGCTCACCAAAGAATTGATTAGAAAAGAAACATGTAAGACAAGTAAAAAGCTGATTGAAATGGGTGGATTCACATGCTAATTCTGTAATTACAAGATCATGCGGCACTGGCACGTGTTGACAGCAGTGGCTACGGAAAACTGCAAAGACAGGTAGTGAGAATTGTTTTGGCCTGTGCCAGAAAAAGCAACAAAGTCTGGCAAGGGGTGTCTTGAACTCATTAGTCTTGCTCTGATTTGCCTTGAGGAAATTAATGCATGTTTTGGGGAATAAATGGATGCTGGTTTCCATCACCATAGCAAGGATCACAAAAGCTTAGCACACATTCTCACTATTTGATCTTTAAGAGCACCGATTAAAGAATTGGAAATGTTTCACTGTGTTATTAACAAAACATGGTCACGTATGTCAAATTCAAAGATAAAAATAAAATTATGTTCATTTGTCCATCACAATTTTAGCTTATCTCAAATGAAAAGGCGCTTAAAGCAGCACTTCTGTTTGACACATTTAAGCTTCTTTCTCACTGATTGTTTAGAAACACATTTTAAATCCAGTTCAATTGAAATCAAAACATTTAAACACTCAATAACATCACAGAATAAATATCAGTGTTGTAGAAATGAATCCACTCAAACATGTTTCATTCTGACGTGAGTAAAGATATATTACCTCTAATTTATTTTTATTTTAAATATACGCTATTGACTTTAGTGACATGGTTATGCAGTCTATCCTCGCTTTCTTTAAAGCTTACATTTGCACATATGCTCACATTAAAAAAACTCCAACACTTAAGCATCTAACAACTGGAAGCAAAAACACATTTGCCTTGCGGTTCTGATAAGTGAAACATCTTTCACCGACAGAAAAGTATCACATCGCATCACTTGCTAGTTTCATCCTCACTTCTGTTATTTATAGATTTGAACATCCAAGTGGAAGATTCTATGTAGGTCGTGGCAGCAGATGATTCTGGTTCTGCTCGGTAAACAGGACAACCCATTTAGTCTAATGCTCGGCCTTATGTAAGCCCTCACAATGGTGACAGGCTGTCTCCTCAAAATCCATGTCAGCACGGTCGTCCCCAGTCCTGACAGTAGTCGGTGTGTGAGGCACAGAGGATTTCACATCAGGATTGCTAGCTGCTTTCTGTCAAAAAAACCCATTTTTAATTCAAACTGTGAACAACGCATTGCATTTGAAATGTTCTCCAGAAACATCTATTTTAAACTTTTTCTAGTCTCAAAGTTTTGTTGATTAAATCTTCTCTAAAAAGTAATTACTGCTGTTGATAAATCACAAATTAACTATGAATTTTTTTTCCGATTCAATTTTTCTAACCACATTCAATCCTGAACATTGTGCTACAATCCTATAGAATCAAGAAATCTTCAAAAGAACCCACCTAACAACATTAAGTAGATTAAAAGATCTCAAAATGCAACACGTCATGCTTGGATCTAAAGAATTTCAGGAGCACATGAGAAACAAGGTCACCGGTACCATCAGTCACCAAGTCACCAACGTTTCATTAAGTATGCATCAATGATTCGTCACAAAACAAACCAGAACAACATGTAACATACAGCAGGCCTCACTTAGCTTCATGTTCCAACATCACGAAAGAGAACCGGGAAAAATGGCTGCCATGGGAGGATTCAATGCAAAAACTACAGATGACCTGAAACGAGGCACAGTTCCATCTCTTATTTCCCAAAAAGCGTCTTAATGGTGATAACAAATGGAGACTTGAATTCTGTTCTCTGTTAAAAAGTATTTAATATCAATCTCTAGCAATAATTTGTGGCGTTAAGAAAGATCCGAACAATGCCGACAATTTCACCTCTGAAGGCCTTAACAAATTCAAATTACATTTCTGGAGTGAGCTTCACTCCAAACACACAAAATCTTACCAAGTATTTATGTTTTGTTTCAAGCACAAATATGTACATTAATTTACATAGTTATAATTAATTTCCCTTTTTCAATTTGTACACGATAAAATACAAAACAAGGGAAAAAGATCAGACTAAACATAATTACAAGTAACTTTTCAGCAAGATAAAAATGCTTGTTCTAAGTCTAGGAGTTGTCTAAGTTTGGACTTCAATGCGATTCAGAAACTGTAACCTTAAACAGCTGGTGTGGCTGAATTAAAATAATCTGCAAAGAATGATGGGGGAAAAAAATTCCTCCAAAGCAATGTAAAAGATTCAATCGGTGTTTGGATGAGTTGCAAAAAATATTGCTTTTCTGAAAATCATCAGTTCAGTTTGACTAAATAAATAAAGTCTTCATTTGGGAACTCTTTCGATTTTTCAAGGTTGATGACCTGAAATGTTTAAGTGCGACACAAAGAAACAACAGGAGAAATCTTTTTTTCGGAGCACGGTAGAAAGCATGCGGATAGACAATTTGGTCCTTGTCAATTTCCAATAAGCTCTCCTCATACTTAGCGGTACAGGAGCAGAGTTTAAAAATATCTGCCTAGAGATATGAGAAGAAACACAAAAGGGAGGAGCACAGTGATAATCAAAAGGAGAAAGACTCAGTCACAATGTTTACATAAGTATGATGGTTAAAGACAGACAGCTGGGAGAGAAAGGGTTAGAAAAACACCAGCGCTCTTTGAGGCCGCCAACATGTGTGTTACATAACCGAGAGTGGACAGGCCAAGCCACGGCATGCGGCGTCCCTTCATCTCCATCTGAACTGAACCGACAGCATCATTCCTGCTTTTTTCCTCCTTTCTTTGATTTGTCTTCATTTGCTTCTTTGCAGCTACCTGACAGCACATGCAGCCTGTTGCTGGCTGTCATTATTTGAAATACACTTATTGTGTTATTCTGACCTGTGCCTTCATGCTTGCTCAGTCTGTGAGCAAACATGGCTGTGTTCAATCTGAGGAAAGGAAAGAAACTGTGCAGCTGGCGGTGAAAAAGCAAACGCCACACATGTTCGGTGTTCAGTTAAAGCCATTTATAATCCGCATGAGAGACCTGCTTCTTCTTCATCTTCTTCTGTAGCCGTAATGAAGTCAATTCCAACATGGCGACGTTAAGCATAATGCGATGAAAACTCATAACTTGCTCCAACTCTTTCCTAAACCCTCTCTGCGGCATAGCCTCATGAATTTTAATGTTCAGGACTCCCTGCAGTGTTTTGGTGTCTAACAAAGGAAATATGCATGATTAGAATCCATTTTCTTTAGAGAACAGCAAAGAAAAATAAGAAGAGATTTCAAAGACATAATGGATCAGCTAGAGCCCTCCGACCCCCACGGCCCTTTTTCATTTCTCGGGCTCCTTCTGTGATCCAAGCACTTTGTATCCAGATCTGTGAAACCAGAAATCAGCAAAGGGACGTCTAGAACATTCTTTCTGGTGACTGTCAAAGACAATGACATGTCAGGCAACAAAAACAAATTCCAGCAAATTACCGCCACCAAATAGATTTGAAGCAACTGTCTTTTCTGAGCTCATTGGCAACGTTTCCCCCTTGACACTGTGTTCAAAAAGGTCTCATAAATCACGATCTGGTCTTACCCAATAATGTGCAAAGCGTTATTCTGATATGTGATTAAAAAAAAACCCCCAAAACTACTAACACTAACTCAGATCAATTAAGATCTTAAAATCGAACCCGTTTTAGTCTGAAGACTGAAAATCTGCAGACTAAAACGTACAGCTGCCGGCAATCAGCTGCAGCTGCTGATGGAATAACTGTTTGTGGTGGAGAGAGCAAACGATATAGAGAGGACTTCAAATGAACTCGCAGTCTGGCTGATTTAGGCACTGGGTTGTAAGACACTTTTGGTTGTTCTAAAAAAAGATGCTGAATTTGTAAAAATGTTGCTCATTATTTGTAAAAGTATAAATATCCATCCACTTCTCAAATACATTAGAATTTGCCACAATGCGACGGAATGTAAAAACTCTAAATAGTTCGAATAGGTGATGTTTGGACATCCTATGGTGGGTGAGTATCTCATTGCTGAAATAACACCTTCTAATTGAATAAGTATCAGCGTCACTGTTGAAAAACAGATTTTTTATATTAGATGTGCTCATCCCTGAAATCCAAAATATAACTTTGAAAAAATGTTAATTCATATTATCAACAAATAAGATTTATTTACAGCAGTTTTGACAGCAGATCAGTTTTCAAAGTCTAGACTTTATCACAAGAAACATAAAAGCTGACAACCTTTGAAGCTTCTGCAGGAAACGATCTGTATTGTGGCACATAAAATCAATGGCAACGGGTTAAAACAAGTTGACCGTAAGTCGATTTATCGATTCCTCTTTTGTTGTATGTGGGACAAACTGCAGTCTTGCTCACAAAATGCAACAATAGCTTCAGAAATTGAAAGCGGTGGCATGCCGAAAAGCAAGACCAGACTCTGCACAATATGTGCATGGTGCAGCTGCTGGTTTTGTTAACCACAGGGAATAGTGAGAGAATCCCAGACAAGACTTCACTCTGAAAAGCGTTTCGCTTTGCATTTAAGCTATGATCAGAGCATGAAATCTGTCCTTTTTAAATAAATACAGTAAAATGATTTGGGTTTATGATTGTTTTTTCTGGGGAAACAAAGGCATGTTGGCCTGTTTTTGGCTCTGATGCTACACCTGGAGCAGTTCACCTTCACTCTCCTCCAACTGCGCAATAACAAGCTGCAGAAGGCCACATGCAGTGAGCTATAACTTTGTGCTCTCAGATTGTTTTTGTCTGGATTTGCCATCTGCCCTCATTTTATAAGCAATATAAGACTAAAGATAGATACACGGTTTATCAATCACAGATATGAACGACTGTGTCGTAGGTGGTTCTAGCATGAATGCTGCTCAGGAAAAGCTCCTCCTTTTGCATAAGTTAAGGTAAAACCAATCAGAAGACATAAAGCACAATTATACAACAGGTTCAGGTTTCTGCATCACAAAGTCTTGACCCTTCAACACAGGAGCCAGACTGTGTCAAATGTGGGGAACAATTTTTGAATAATGTACAACCTCAATAACACCCTGGACTCCTGTTCGGTAGCCACTACCCCAGTAACAAAAAACAAAACAAAACAAAAAAACTTGTGTTTCACAGCAGTAATGTGTCTGATGTATGGTCATATTCAGTCAATTAGAACATGAACTTGCTGGAAGAATAAAATCATTATAAGTAACAGAAATAAATACTTGAAAACATCAGTCTGTGTGTAATAAGTATATTTATATGTACATATATAAGACATATTCTAATCTATTAAATATGGCTATATAATGAGAAATTCATATGAAAAATGACTTGTCTGAAAGACACCCTGGTGCTCTGATTGATAATAAGCAACACATCCTGAAAACCAATCAAAATCCGAGAAAACATCTCAGTGGTGAGGAGGAGACTAATCCTAGTTAGAAAGGTCTTACCTCTGTCTGCCTCTCTTTTTTTTTTATACGTGTGTATTAGTTATACTTTCTTTTGGTGACAAATGATCTTAGGGTGCAGATGTGATGTTTACTCTGTGTGTCTGTGTAGGCGTTTGCCTTTAAAAATCTGAAAGATTCACGTCAGTGAACGCTGCTCGCCTACGCACCCATGCACAGGCACACACACACACACACACACACACACACAAGAGCATGCCTACACAAACGCAGACAGACACAATGCTAGAAATAGCTGCTCTATATTTGAATGAGTACAGTCAGAGTCAATGTCTAATCAATGCCTCCGCTTTCCTGGTGACTGTAGAGTGAAAAGCAGAACACCATGCTCTGGATGGTTTGATAATATCAAAGATACAACAATAAGCAATGGAAATGGAAATAACACATTTCAGTTTTAAATGAAGAAAACTGATGCATGTTACTAGAGTAATAGATGCAAATATCAGTCTTTTAATTTCAACATTATCTTTAACAAAATTTTACCAGCAATCACCAGAGAACATTAAAACATAATTAACTTATTGTCTGACAATTCTCAAATTAAATGAAATACAGCAATGATATGAGGAAAACCAGCACTCCTACTGATTTAACTTGTTAACATCCCGTCAGGAAAGAAAATATTAATGGTGGGGTTTTCATTTTCTGTGTCTTGATGGAAAATATTGTTTACTTAACCTTGCCTGGTAAAACGTTAGGGGCAGATTAACTTGATTTGCTGTTGCGTCAAAGGAGGAAAGCATCTTTGAACCAGATAAGCTTTGAGACATTACATCCACTAATATAATCACTTTCTTTTAATTACCTGTTTTGCTTCTCTGATTTCATTTTTTTTCATGATTGTTAAAAAGGCTACACTAATCCACAAAACATCACAAATTAAAACTACTTATCTCTTGTTTGAATTCAAATTTCACATTCATACAAAATAAAAAATCTCCATTTGCTGTTTTGCATTGAGTGTAATGGCCTTCATCACTTAAACATTTAGGTGCAGAAAAGATGCACGTCACAGTACAGTCTGTACTTTTGTTTTAGGGAAACAACAGAAACAAATCTTCATCTTCTTAGTTTTAATTTTTTTAACATTTTATTGTGTGAATTTTACTTTTGATGAGTTTAGGTTTGATGAAGATGCCAAACAGATGAATGAGCCTGTTGTGCAAACAAATCCCCACCTATGTCTGAGGTACATGTCATTTTACAGGATAATTGTAGAAGATTAGCTTAACTACAGACAGCAGAGCTACAGAAACACTGACACTTTGCTCCTCCCCTCCGTTGGAGAGGCTAACTAGACAACCATGGCTGAGAATCAAAACAATTAACTAATGTTGGAAGTTTTTGACTCTGATAACATGGCGAATACATCCAAAGAAGAGTCTTTCTCCTAAAGACACCGAAGGCATTGTATAGGGGATACTTTATATAAAACCAATAAACAAGATAAGTCATGCTATAACTTACCTGCCAAGTCATGACAAAATTATCTGCCGATATGGCTAAAAATTAAATAATGTTAAACAGTGGACCCAGACTGAAGCTGACAATAAAAACAGCAGCAAGTCAGAACCAGTGGTAATGTACCCTGCTGATTGTGGCTGATCAAAGAAAATATGAAGCAAAATCACAAAAAAAACACAGAAATGGAAGACTTTCTAAAATCCAGTTGAATTGTCTAGTCGTTACTGTGTCTTTCCTGATTAACACATTACAATAAGTTTTTATGATTAACATCAGGAGGACTGTTATTTCATCAGTAGAAAAAGAAGACATTTCATCAATGGAAAAAGGTCATGTGGTGTCAAAGTTAAACTTTAAAAATTACTGTCATAATAGTTCTAGTTCTAATTAGTTGATACCTGCAGCAGACATTAAAAGAATGAGTTACTTGTGAACATGAGAATATTCTCATATCTAATATGCTAGCTCATGTTTTAGTCTCTCATTTGACCCCAGACACAAACCAAACAAGAAAGCTATCTTACCGGTGGTTCTTGTCATAGTGTCCTGGGTACCTTTAGTCAGTGTTCCTACAGGAGTTGGAACAGGAAGTAGAACATTGGTTTCACAGCTCCCATGATGTCTCTTAGGGGGAGGAGAAGATGGCACCACAGGTGACATCATTAAAGAAGTTGAGATCCTTGTTGCCATTGAAGCAGAGCCTTCAGAACCGTCTGTCACCGTGAGGGATCGACGGACAGCTACATGAGGGTAAGAGGGTCTGGGATGGCAGGGTGTTCCCATTGGGATGAAATCTGGTGTGCTGGGTGCCATCACTTGTGTGATGGCCATACCCGTAGGGTATGCCCCGGCCATTACCATGGGAACAGACAGATGTGAACAGTCAGACATTGCACGTCTCACTGCAGTTCGCTGAGGGATGTCATTACCTCTCGTTGTTTTGGGTTCTCTGTGTGTTGTATCCTCATGGCGATTTAAAGCCTGTTCTGGACCAGGACTTACAACTCTTTTCTCGGATGCATTGCTTTTTGGTGGAACACTTGTTGCTGCTCCCATTTCAGTATGGCTTAAGTTTTCTCTGTCTGACCTGTACCCTCCTACAACACTCAGCCCTGCATTAGCAGCAGCTCTGTTGGGTGGAGACAGAGATGCAGGTGCATGCCCTGTGGGCATTGCAGTGCTAGCTGTGCAGCCTGTTAGGTCAGACACAGAAGAAGCAGGTACACCTGAACCTGACTTTCCTAAGTATGGCTTCAGTATTTGATTTCCAGGCTTACTTGCATTAGAATCTTCCTTCAGAGTTTTCAACAGGCTTCCAGTTGTTATCCTCTCATCCTCTTTTTTTACTTCATATGAAACTGTATCTCTGGTGATGGATGGATTTAATGGCATTTTTTGCTGATGTTCTGAGACCGGTGAGAAGATGTGTCCTTGGACAGCTTTTTGTGACCCCTGAAGGTAAAATCCTTCCATATTTTGCTGGAGATCGCTCTGTCCAAATGGCTTAGGATCAATGACAGAATTCGAAAAGACTCTCCCTGGTGAGAGAGAAGGGGAAGCTGATGTTGAAGTTGGGGAGGAGTGTGACGACAGGGGGCTGTTGGGACTCTGTCCTGCGCTCCCTAATACACCCCCAACCACTCCCACCTTAAGTCCATCTTCCTTTGGCCTTTCTGGTCTGGACCAGTCATCCTCTATGTTCAGCAACGGCGTGGTGAAGCTCGGGGTTCCTGATGCCATCATCCCCGATGAATTCCCCTCGGTGCTGCCTCGGCCTAATTTCCCCTCATCTTCCATCAAAGTTATTCTGGATCCTGTCTGTGCTGAGGCAGTGGCTCCTCCTGGTGCCATCTGGCCTTGGCAATGCCAGTCACCGTGGTGGGGAGCAGCTGGACTGGAGGGTGACAGTGTAGAAGAGGCCATCACGGCAGGGATGCTGGCAGTGGAGAGAGTACCGGGAGGTTTGTGTTGCTGTTGTTGATGCTGCTGCTGATACCCGCTGGAAGGTTGTCCATACCCACTGTTTCCATTAATGATGCCAGGCTGCTGCCAGGGTGAGCCAGAAAGGAAAGACATTCTCATGCACTGCAGTGGGTCTTCCTCTGTTGATGTTCTCTCCAACCTGTTTGCTCGTCAGCCTTTTCCCGCTCCCTTAGTTATGGTTGTCCTTTTTGATTCCTCTTCCTGTGTCCTTAGTTGCTTTCTTCTGCTTCAAGTTCCTATTACTGCTGTCCAGGACTCAGAGGAGTCTTCACTTACCAAACAGTTGTGATCTTGAGAAGTAGAGAAAAGAAATGCTCCCCTGTCTATTTTAGAGTGATTCCTTGCAGTTGTTTGTGTGTCCAACTGCATGGATGTCAGGCATGTAAAGTGCATGTGCGCTTACAGGCGAAAGGAAAGAAGTGCATGGCAGTGAAAAAGCGAAAGTGTGCGTGTGTGTGTGTGTGTTTGTGTCTGGTTGTCTCAGCTTCTCTCTGAGCGCTGCACAGATCAGCTGTGGGGCTAAATTGCACCTTACTCTCTCTTTCTCTCTTTTTGACATCACAAAGTCACATGACCACCCCGAATATTCCCTCATTCGCTGGAGCTAAATTTCAGCAGCCAGCCCCTGGTGACAAACGTGCTCAGGCGGACGCAAACTAAGAGACAAGCGTGTACAGTTGCACACACAAACACACGCACAATGCTATTGGCAAAAACAGAAGCACATTTACACACGCACACACCGACTGATCTGTGGCTGTCACAGCTGCTCTGCTGCTTTGTGACAGCCACTGTTCACATGTTGATTCATAGTGAGAGACACAAGAAGAGATTAGCAAGACATAACTGAAGACTGTTATCATCCTGACTGACTGACTGACTCAGGCAAGAATAAACATTTTTGTTTTGCGACTCATTTTGTTGACTCCTAAAGACGTTTATTCCATTTGGATAAAAATGTGACAGATTAGGAATTAATCTATGAACAATGGCATAGATTGTTTTCTTTTGCTGCCACAACCAGTTTGACCCACTGAGGGATGGACTCCACCAGATGCCTGGAAATGTGCTTTGACGTCTCGCTTCAAGATGTGATGGAGCTAGACGTCCCGTCTTGGAGCAGTAAGTGGCATATCGGGGCCTTCTTTGCAAAATGACCAAAATAAGTAAAGAAAATATTTGGGCAAAGATCTATTGCTCTATAATAGATCTATGATCTATTATAGAGAGATGAATGACTTTATCTCGAGATAAAGTCATTCAAATTGTAGCACTTGCTTTTTTCCTTCTGCCAACAGTGAAATTGTCAAATGTCACTTTTCAAAATGCCTTATTTATGCATACTGATTAAATGTAAGAATTTTGTTAGCTATTCTTTCATATATGGACTAACACGAAAAACCTGGACTAGTTTATATATTCAACTAGTGATTGAAAACTTGTAAACAGTGTCCTGACTTAGTAAATGGACTGAACTTATATTGAGCTTTTCCAGTCACACTGACCGCTCAAAGTGAGTGGGAGTTTGAAGTTAAGTGCCTTTGTGCAGGGTCACATTGACTTGTGGCAGAAAAACGCTGGAATTGAACGTACAACCTTGCAACAGAGCCTTATAACAATAATTCAGGATTCAAAAACTCTAGAAGCACTGGAGAAGTGTCTGAATTTTAAAATGATGTTCCTGTGACTCATTTTCACTGACATTCATAAAGCACATTTGAAAAAACAATCAGAATATTGGGTTCCAGCCCTGCATAGACTCATTAACATTTGATTTTGGTTTTGATACAAAAAAAAGACCACATGTTAAAGCAAAAGACAATTAAACAAAATAAATAAAACTCAGACAAAAACTATTAAAAGTGAATATGCAAAATGAATATCCAAGACAAAGTTACTGCTGGAAGCGAGGAAAGGAAAAAGTGGATTTAAAAAAGAGTTTTTGATTTACTTTTTTAGACTGGAGTGAGCCAAGTCAAAATTTTTTACACAAGATGCATCAAGACTCATCCGCTGGATTAATAATTCATCGACTAGCTCTTACTTCTGTGTCTAGAGTGCTTAATAGGCAAGCCAGACAGTGGTCAAGCAAAAAATAATAATAGAAAGCATTTTAGCTGCTATTCAAAAGTCTACATTATTCTGGTGGGTTTCACAATTTAGCTGTAACTGGGTAGACATTTGCATCATTCTTTTTGTTTTATAAAATTATAAAGTTTTAAAAACTCTCAACTTTGAGATAAGTGTCTTTTTTAGAGCAAAGTGTTTAAATACATGCACTTAATGATCCAACAAAGGGTGTCACGTTTCCTCATTAATGGGATGAATAATGATCTTTGCAAACGTCCTGGTGGTTTATGAGTGAGAGGTTTTAGAAATGGTGTAAATATGACAAACTACCATTTTATCCTCTGACACCAAATAGGCAAAAAGGAAACTTTGCAGCTTTTTTTGAACACAGATTTGGGTCAGCATCTGCAGTGGGAAACACTGGGAGTAAGTTCAACTGATTTCAGAAACTTTCACATCTTAGCGATTTCACTCTTTGTGTATTTGGTCGTGTAAAAGTAAAAACTTACGGCCATATGCAGATATGCAACTTATGATAGGACTCCATGTTACAACTAAGCACATAAATTAAAAAAATCTGATAATTTTCACCTTTTTAAATTAGACCGATTCCTACTAACAAACCTCCATGTTTAAATGTGTCTAAAATGTTTTTAAATTGTGTTTAATAATCTCACAAACTCTGCTCAGGATTTATAATCCAACTTTTCAAGCAGGATTAACGATGCTCTGACAGCAAACCGTCTCCTCTTCCACCCTTTTCTTTCCATATCGCACACACGTTTAGTTCTCAGCACACACAAATCCTGTGCGTATTTGTAACATCAGGAGGTTTTGTATTTAGCTATTACTACACACAAAGGAAGTGCAAATTGAAATATCCGGGTTCAGTCAAGAAATTTTACTGAGGTTTCAAAGCCGCACAGCACACGCATCATGAAGAGCCTGTGGTCCGCGCGGATCAAGAGGCTTAGAGCCGTACAACCACATGGAAGTTAACATTTTCTTTCACAAAATAAACCGTATTTTCTTTTGGTTGCTCCCAAAAATACCACAAGGGAGTCTCTGCTGTTTTAAAAACTGAACTTGTTAGAGGATCGTAAAGACCCAAAGTGTCTTCTATTTACACTTGGTATCAAAGTCTTAGTGTAGATTTATAAGATAATTAATGAAGAGTAATGTCTCATATTGTTCCAGAAACAGTTATAAGTATAGCAGGTCCTGTGTTAGTCCTGTGCTTTGCTTTAATACTGTTGCCAAGATTTAATGTCAGTTTAAGAGTAAAAATAAAACAATAAAAATCCAGCTGAAACATTTACAGCTCTAGAGTACATAACAGTATGGTGGAAAAAAAGATGAATTACTATTTAAAATCCTTAGCATCAAAGGTATTACCACCAATAGTTTGAGACAGAGATGTGAACTTCATAGAAAAAAAAAACACAAAAAAAAACTTCTAGGCTTTGTGTAGATATGTTAATGTTTTCTCAGTGAAGAATCATAAGTATTTATCAGAGAATACATCATAACACCATTGTTCACAGCACATTTTGTTCAAACACATTTAAAACAACAGCTAGAAATCTTTTTTTTTTTGCATCTGAAAATAAGGTTGGGTAAAGTCTGTTTCACTTTTATTCATTTACACAACTTCTTCGAGTTGAGCCACGACCTTCTTCATTATCTTTGCAACGAAGAAGTTTGTGGTAAATTGGGAGGAGCTGCAGATCCATGTGGAAAACGGCCCAGTCAAAATCTAAATTAATGTTCTAAGAAGACTGGAAAACACACTTAGTCTTCATGCAAGGCTGATTTAGACACAATTCCTGAAACTTGTAGCTGTAGCTCCACACGTTTCTTAAAAACAAATGCATAAAACACTCTTCAGGTATTTATGTGCAAAAAAGATTTTGCAAACGGCATAATTTTCTTCCCACTTAAGTGAGCAACCCTGATCTACTCCATAAAAAGCTAATATATAAATCAAATTTCAGCATAAGAAAAAAAAAAAAAGAAAAAGTTAGGGGCGGGGGCATATATTTTTGCCAGGGGACTCAGATAACCAGTGAACATGTAAGAAAAATTAAAAGACCAAGAGCAAGATCAGAAGAAGTCACATATAAGTATACTCTTGAAAAGATTTTTTTTCTCAATAAAAGAAAAGGCTTTTTGAACTCCACCATCATCTCTCTCCTGGGCCTCGCAGCATTCCCACCCAGGACTGAGCAGAAAGACCAGGAGCAGCAGCTCGTCGAGCATGACTGAGAATGAATGAATCTCATTACATAATCATCCATAAACAATTTGCCCTCTGTAATCGCGGAGGGACAGTGAGACACGGACAGGAAGAGGAAGACATTAGAGGGTTGCTTAGTTTCATAATACGGGACAGGATGGACATTTAGCAGGTTAAAACCGCCGGGTCCGGCTCAGAGGCTGCTGGTGTGAACAGTCAAAGGGATTAGGTGCTTAAGAAGCAAACTAAATCTTAGGGCAAAGGATGTTTTTTTTTTTTTTTTCAAGAGGCGGCAATCTAGTAAAAAAATTAATAGACGCAAAGAACTGATTATCATTTTATCATGTGTAAAATACTGTAAAACTTTTGAAGTACTAACAGATCAAACTGGATTTGTGCTGAAATGTAAATGTAGAACTGACATGACTCAAGCCCCCGACAATGACCTTTAATGTATACTCCTGCTGATTCAGAGGCCTTTTCTGACATGATTAACACAGCAGTGGTTTCTTCTATCAGTTAACAGCCTTACATCCAATCGTTAAGACTGCAGTGGCTTTTTCGCTGATTTTCCAAAAGCTTCATGTAGACATGACTCTAAGACTGGAAACACTGGACAACATTTTAGAAAAAAACAAACAAACAATAATAGATCATTTCCTAAGAACATCTGATAAAAGAAGTCCAACCTTAAGAGGAATTAGAAGGGATGTGTGTTTGTCACACGGTTGGATCTGACTGGGTCAGAAAAGATCCAGGGCGGGGAGCTGGGAGCTAATTAGGACATGATATTGACACACTTAGGTGCCACCACATTAATGGAGAGCTGTGCATGTAAAAACGGCTCCATGTTTCACTACAGCTGCACACAGAGAGAGGGTGTAACACCTTTGAACCAAAAATATTCTTGCTTCAAAAGCACCAAGCTTTATTGTTAAAAGTAATAGTGGCTTTTTGTTGGCTGAAAAGCCACCAAATTATGCCAGTGTTATATATATGAAAGCAAGAATCATATTGTTAGTTTATTTTGTACCTGTAAACAGTTGAAGCTCAAATACTTAACCACAGTTTTCAGTTTATTTCTCTTCGCTGATTAGTTGTGGGAAGTCGAATGTCATGTATGCTTTAACTTCATGTTCAGAAAGTTTTATATTACAGCCTATTTCCATCAACCTTATTTGGGC